CGTAACTTTTGCGTAAGTTTTCCGTTCTTTTCCGTTACTTTTCCGTTAGACTTCTGCATTCATATGCAGGCCGCGGTAACATCACAGAATAATGGGAGGAGTACTAATTTACCTCATGCGGGGCGGGAAATTACCAATACACACCGCTGGAACAGCGGAAGGAACGTTGATCTAGCCTGCATTTTACTATATTGTAACGTTTAAAACGTTTTACGATCACCGGCGCAATTCAATTAGATAGACATTTTCTTTTGTCACTGTTGCCCAGGCAAGCGTTTCTATAGTTTGTCAACTTTGTTTTGCTGTTTTTCTCTGTTAACTTATTTTACCACCGAATAAGCAAACCTAGATGATCTGAAGTTATAAATGCCCCGGTCCGCCGTACATAATAGGCGGCGGGCGTGAGGTAACGTTAGGGATGTGCAAAAACATCGCGGAAAATTCCTATAACACTCGAAAAAAGGCAGCATATTTACACGTGCCCACCAACATTTTTATGGCTAATTATTGACCAGTTTTGGGGAGTTTTGTTATGTCCTTGGAGTTTTGTTTAGAGTGGGACGGAAAGCCGTGCCGCCACTCCGACTCCATGCACTTCCGTGTTACATTACGTAAAATCGGACCAACAAAATTACGTATGTGACCAACAAAATTACGCCAAAGGCACCACAAATCCACATGTACATATATTTTTTCCCGAAAATTCTTTTGAGTACGCATTTCGTCACTAGGATGTTGCTAATTAGTCGTAGAAATAAGGTAGAAACCAGCGTAAATGTGGCTCTCTCGAGATCCAGCTCTCTGCATTTCGCGCGGGAGGGCGCCCCAGCATGCAACGGGCTTCGTTCTAGCCAATCACAGCGCAGGTCATCTAAGGTGAACCAATCAGAGCGTAGCTACTTGCATATTATAATGAGCATGCTGCACACAGGTCGGCCGCGGCCAGGGCGACCGGCCCTGAGTGCGCGGGAAATGTGTTTTGCAACTATATTTTTACGGGGATTTTCTGACGTTTGACGCTGACTTTGGCACGATATGATCGCACTACCATGTACACGCTACCGTAGGCGGCAAATGAGTGGTCATTTTTATATAATCGTCGAGAAATTTTGGCGTTATGCACCCGGAAGTGAGCCGATCTCAGTTTGCGTTCCCTCGATTTTTGACAGTTTCCCCCCTCAAAATAAGAAACAAAACTACCGCTATTAAATAGAACCATGTATTACAATTATCATTTCAACATGATAGATCTATTATATATTCCTTTATTAACTATGATATCATCATGGTTGTGGAAAGTCCTCAGCTGGCGAACCGAGTCCTTCCGCTGCAGTAATTAGTGACCGCATCAGCCCCTTACTCCGCACTGCTTCGACAGACAACTTCAGAACGTCCCAGTCATCTCCCAGCCAACAACTCAGCGAACAGTTCTACAAAGTGCAGAGAGCTTCCAACTGTGAGTTGATTGTGGTGTCTTTCTTACTCCTCTGTATCTCTTCCTCCTCGTAGATGCTATGGCATGTAGAAACCTTTAAGAAGTTAATACTTTCGTTCAACCCAATCAAATAATGCCGGTTCCCACCCATGGCCCGAACGTTTTAAGTAAATTTGGAAACATTTGACAGCCGGCTTTGCTCCCCCGACCGTGGTTGCCTGGAGTTCGGCAGTGTTCTGGAGGAGGTCATACTTGGGTATGTGTGACTGGGGCCTCAGTTGCAACATGTACAGGTCATCGCTTATACAAGACCACCCCTCCCCCCAGAAGAATGTCGTGGGCCCGCACCCAGATACCACACAGATACCACACCAATGAACCTTCTAAAATGGCATTTCGTGCATTTTCAAGAGGATTTCCAAGAAAAAATCAGAGATAGATTTTTATTCAATGACAAAGGGAGCAGATGTGGACCAAAAAGTGGACCTTTACATAAAATGTGGAGCAAAAAGTGGACCTTTACATAAAAAGTGGACCAAAAAGTGGACCTTTGAGCCTTGTGGGGATGTTCTTCCGAACCCCCCGAACCCCCCCTGGCTACGGGCATGGAAATAACTATAGAATAGCATTAAAAGATAGCACAATTCGCTTCACACAGTCGACACATGGATAAACCACAAAGTTATTTTACGAATCACATGTCCACTTGCCTCTGGTGCTGTTATTTTTCAAGGGGCAACATCGCAACACATTAGCGGACGCCCCAGGAGGTGGCAAATTGCTATTGTCTTGTCGGCGCGCAAAACAAACATGAAATCCGACCCTATCACATTAACGCAAACGGTAACGCGTTAGAAATAATTTCTGACGATTTTCTAACCATTTTCTGACGAAAATCTAACCAAATACTGACGATTTTCTAACCATTTTCTGACGAAAATCTAACTCGTTAGTAACGGGGTACCCGGTTTAACTATAACGCGAACGGTACTGTAATACACAACCCAGAAATGCTGTCCTTACCACAGAGTTTGTGTGGTCAGACTCCAGCTGATGTAGGTTCTCAATCAGAACTTGCTGGTCGATCAGCTTCTGCTCCTGTTCACCGAGCCTCTCCTCTGTGAGGGCCAGTTTCTCCCTCAGACTCTGGTTCTCTGCCTCCAGTTTCTGAATCCTCTCCTGTACGTACAGATGTTTCTGATTTTAGTATTTCTAATAAAGTCTCAAGTACAACTTAAGATACGGTCACAACCCGCCGTACGTGCTTCTGCGTGCTGTCTACGTGCAAAAACGTGGGCAAACGTAGGGCATCCGTGCGTGGTGAGTACCACCTCTGTACGGAATCCTACGGAGTTGGGAGCACGCAGATACGCCGTAGATTTTTAAGTGCATGTAAAACTTTTTCTACGTGCGGTCTGCGGATTCACCACCCGTGCGCAATGTATGTGCACGCAACCGCTCACGGCCAGACTTGGTGTGCAGACCACACTCTCACACTTTGTCCAACTGTGCGAGTGACGTGCGTAGACGCCACTACTTCCCCACGTTTTCAGAAAAAAACGTAGCAGACGTAGCCTCCCAAAAAACGTACGGAGAAAAAGCATGTACGGCGGGTTGTGACCGTAGCTTTAAAGTGGTACAATAAACATCCTCCACAAAGTTTATCCTTAAACCTATAGCACAAAGAACACATTTTCATTGGAACTACTGTTTGGGGCCATGGCCATGCATTTAAACTTACACATTGAGCAGGGCTCGAATCGCCTCTTCATGTGCATTAGTTGGTGCAAGTAAAGTTGGTGGTGTGCACCTAATTTTTACTGGTCTGCACCATTGCAAGTAAGCCTTTTCTCATGTGCACCTTTACCAAATAATGTAATTCGAGCCCTGATGAGGAAACTAAAACTAGTCTGTGTTCCTTTGCTTTGACTTTCAAAGTGACTTCTTTTCATTTGGGCAAATAACAGTTTGTACATTGAATGATATTTATCACACAAACTACATGCAATAAAACAACGTCACATACATGATAAAGAAAGAAAATGAATCAACAAAAAGGCAAAACTGCAACCTAATTCCTCTACATTTACAGTCACTTGTACTTCTGCCACAGACATTGATGCTGTATATACCTTAATAGTACCAGCTTTATTGCGAAGAACAAAGATGCAAAGTTTGCAAAGGACATTACTAAAAAATATTCTGTATGCACCAAATTATGGCTTTGCCTGCCGACCCGTGCACCTTACCTGACAACTTTTTCCACCAGTTAAGTCGTGCTTTGATAATGAAGAAATGGATTTGCATCAATAATTTTATGTATTGCTAAAATATCCTTAACATTAGAATCCAATCTACATGTATTGCAAGCATCCACGCCTTGAACTTCATATATAGGTGTTAGTTCTTACCTCCTTAGAAAGTCCTTGTCTTTTTAAAGGCATCCAATGCAATTTCAGGGCGGCAAAACTGAATTTTCAGAGTCAATTTTCTGGTCATTCTTTTAATTAAGTGCATTAAATCAATATCATCCCATAGCCTATATATATAAATTATCTGTGAGGTAAGAAATGCTATGTCACTGATGGAAAATGGTAATGTTTGTTGTTTTGTATCATGAGCTGGTTCTAGCTACATGTATTTATGGGCGGTACCCAAAAATAAAGGGACTCCTCACGTGGCTTGTTTTTGGGCTATTTCAAATGCTTCAAGCATGAAATGATGACAAAAAATGTGCTAAGATTATAAAAAAAAGTTACTAAGAAATGGCGCAGTAAATGTCAATATCAGACAGATTTCCTCATCGAGAATTTTTTAGTTTTGCCGCCCCGAAATTTGCACTGTATGCCTTTAATTTGTAAACAACAAACTCAGGAACACGTACCGACATCTGCGAGGCCTCTCTAGCCTTCTCGGCAAAGATTTCCTCGTCAGATTTGAGGTCCTTGTGGGCTTTCTTGAGGTCCTTCTTCAGTTTGTCCATGGTGTCCTGGTCGGGAGTCTCCCCACCCAGGATGAAGGCCCCGGGTACCTCATTCTTAACTTCGTCCATCAAGTCCAGCCAGTTCTGGATACGTGCCTCCTGACTCTTGGTCAGAATATCACTCTGGAGAAACACACAAGTAACAAGAATTCAAAGACCTTACACAAAATGTTAAGATCTTGTGTGATGGTGACTGTGTCCTCTTCTCATTCACCATGATGGTGTCTTTAATGTGCAAGGGAAACAACACCCACTGTCAACTACTAGTATCAAGGAGGTCATGTAATGAAAAAATAAAAAGTGCTGTGAAAACAGCGGGCGCTACCAGATGTAGATGAGATAAATGCCTTTCTCCCTTTGGGACAGGCTGAACTCACCCATATCCATGCATTACAACCTTTCCTAAGGGCTACACAGAAACACAGACACAAACACGGACACACACACACTCATCAGAAACAATACCTCCATTTTTCGTGGAGGTAAACAGCTGTACAGTAATTGTTTTATCTGCTCTATCCTATCTTACAGACTAAAATAAAACTTCTGCATTGTCTGCATGCAAGAAAGGTTATATTAATAAATTATATATTACAAGCACAGATACCTGCTGCACATCCACAAACTGTTTGTAAGCCTCTTCAGCACACAGTCGGTAGTGAGCACACTCCGTCTTAGACTGGGCCAGCTGCTCCTCCAGCATCCTGACACGCATGTCCTCCGGCGTGGCGTCCTGCTCCGTCTCCGTCAGGTCCCGGTACGCGTCACGCTGCCTCCGCAGCTCCTCCTTCAGGGCCTCGATCTCCGTCCGCATGGCGTCCATGGCGATGGATTGTGGGTCTGTGTTTACGATCGGCTTATTTCTGAGGGGAGGGGAAAAGGGCGTACATGCTGCTACAATTGTTGTGCAACAAACATGTTCACAGTTTTTCTAAAAAGGATTGACTGTTATGTTGATTTAAGCTTAGAGCTATATGATATCACTTGGCAGGAGATTACATACTGGTTTTGTACGAAGAATTTTGTTCCTACAGTGTAGGATTTGCCCCTACTCTTAATAGTCTTATATATGCTAGGAAACTTCAAAACTTCAAGTACAAAACATATTATATGGGGCAAACTGGTGGTAAATAGCTGAGGCAAAATTGACTCAGGCAAATCCTCTAGAAATGGACCAATCCACACGAGCACAGTATAAATCTAAGTAGCCTTAATGTACCATATACTAGTGTAATTGAGTGGAAGACTGATCTGTTAATGCCAAAAATGATTATTAGTTAATATTATTTGAAGAGACAGGACCAACAGTGGCCAAATATTGGAAGCAGGAAAACACAGCACATTTTAGAATCTTACACTAAATCTTACAAAGTATTAGTAACCAGATTTACTTGCTCTGAAATTTTATTACCTTCAAGTATTGTTGCACCCATGGCAATTCATCAGAAGAAAAAAACCAAGACCTTCCAAAATCAATACTTTCATCAGAAGAAGAAACACAGACCTTTCAAAAGGACATAAACTTACTTGATGTTTCTAGCTCTGTTGGCATACTTGAGTGAATTGAGCGTCTCGTCGAAGTCAGAACTGGAGGGACTGATACAGGTGATCATGGCGGTCTGCGCGTTCCCTCCCAGCGAGTCCTTCAGCAGCCGGGTGATCTTGGAGTCTCGGTACGGGATGTGCGACGCCCTCTTCTTCGTGTCTCCCAGCGCGCTGATCACGTTACCTATAATGAAGTGGTTGATCGTTTAGCTGGTAATGCTTTGGCATTTGGCAACATAAAATTGACTGCGGCTGACGTCAACTCCAAGACTGCCTAGAAAAAAGAAATGTTCATACAGGATGGTCAATGGAAAGACTGAAAGAGAAGGGGGTGAAAAGGGGTGACGGAGGAAGGGTTTATCTTCATGGGAAAAGAAGGAGGATTGCAACACAACTTGAGACTGGCGTCTTTACAAGATATGGACTTAACTTGTTACTGGACTTATTGGAGGGAGAAGGACCTTGGTATCTACCAGTCTGTCTTTGCTTCTCTAACAGGGCTCGAAATACTGGGTCCATGCGCACCTTAGTGCATCCAAAATTGGAGCTGTGCATCCATTTTTTTCTGTGGGTGCACTGGTGCACCCAAATATTTTTGCGGGTATTTTTTACATATGAAATGTATATTGCATACAGGATATTCTTGGCATCTAAGTGTCAGAAAAATAATAAATCTTTCTTGTAGTACATGTACTTGTTTAAGATTTTGAAGTTAGCTCCCATTTCGCATTCAAGCTCAGAAGAGTAGCAGTAAGATCTCTAATTATGTTGTGCTTTATATGGTGCACCCCAAAATTCTTTTGTGTACCTAATTTTTTAGGTTAGGTGCACCAGTGCACCTATTCCCAAAAATGAATTTCGAGCCCTGTCTAACGTTGAAGAAAAAGAAGAAGAAGATCACGTTACCGAGAGCGAGCAGTCCGCTGTTGATGTGGATGGACTCCTTGAAGCGATCGCCGACGTTCCCCGTTTTCTGCGCCCTCTCCGACCCTGCCAGGTCCACGAAGTGAAACTTGGAGGACACGAAGCGGGTTTCCTTCGCGGTGGAGTCCAGGTCGTCCTCGTCCGGAGTGAGAGAAGCGCTGGCGTCGACGTCACGCCACCTATTTATTTACAATAGTTTATTTATTATGGAGACTCAAAACAACCATACAGTGGAAGCTTTTAGCTGAATTATAGTGTGCCATTACAAAGAGATAATATTTACAATTAATTTACACTATTAATACTTACACAACATAAAAAATGCCTTACGTTAGGCCTGCACATATTTAAAAAATTTCATGAATGTGTTAAACGTATAAAATTTATATATCAATCAAGCAGGCAATCATACTAGATGGGCAACGACTATACGTGTCAAGTAGATCAACCGGGAAAGGCAGTGTAGTCTTGCGTTACCTCTCAGTTCTACATTTGAATTGTGTTACATTATTTTTTGATCTAAGATTCCTGCCATGCAGGCTTACACGGTTTGGGGGCAGCCATGTCGAAAAGTTGTAGAATTCAGTAGCGAAGTAGCAAACTTGTAACATAGCTCATGTCATCTATTGCTAAGGCCACAACAATTTAATTTGTTGCTTCTCGGCTCACCCTGTCAATTTTTTTTGCAATTTGCAAAAAACAATTTGGGGGGGGTTCTAAATTAACTGCAAAATGTTCAATGAAAGACATGTTTTGTCCCCAATGGTTGAAAAAATCCCTTTTCTTCCTGATTCTTAAGTTTTTCAATGTAACAAATTGCAATTTTGTTTCACTAAAAGTTCAAAATCTATTGCTTTAATTATAAACCAGCCTGGTATGTTTACTTCATGGCTCATGTTCATGTAACATTTCTGGCTATCATGGGGTGCCTTGGCCTGTTTTTGTTGTTTTTTTCCTCCTGTCGCTACTGATTTTTTTCTGAAAAAATCCGAGAAACAACAAATTATATTGGTGTGGCCTAAGAGATATGAGTGACAGTTGATTGACCTCTGCTCGATGACGAGGGTGAAGATGCTGTGGGAGCGGCTGGAGTGCTCGTTCATCAGGGTGGTTCCTGTCTGTCGGGAGGCTGACCCTGACGCCAGGATGGCCATCACCTCCTCAACTGAGCAGCATTGCTCCTCCTTGGCACCAATTATGACTGAAATCATATACAAAAAGTTACACACACTATTCACTAAGGCTCTAGCCAGCTCAAAATTTTTTTCCATCGACCCAGGTTCATGATTGGATCTGGGTGGGGGGAGCATCATAGGTGTGACCTGGAGTATCCCCAGGAAATTTAGGATTTTCAAGCCTTGAAAAACACAATTTCTGGCATTTTGAGAGGAAAATCATGGGGTTGAGAGTGATTGTCAGTGGTCCTTCGGATGTTTTTATTTTACCTAAGATTTGTGTTGATTTTGTCTTTCAAGGATAATGTATTGGTTTTAAAAAATCCGCCCGTCCGTCACACGCCCCAAATTTCCGGTAATTGATGGAAAAATGGGTGCTGGCTAGAGCCCTGTTTTCAACCTAGCTTGACTACTTCAGAAGTCTCATAACATATACACAATCATAGACTCATACTCATCTAATAAAGTATATAATCATTCATGCTGAGCGTGCATCAAAATAGTGATAGAATATGTTGATCCGGATTCCGAAACCAAGCATTCTTGGAAACAAACGTCTTGCTAAAAACAATTGATTTCTCAAATTCCAGATGATTGGTGGTGCAGAAATGTTTTGTTTAGTAGACCACTGAACTGTGAAAAATGCACCTCTGCTATGTTGTCACTGTTCCACAGATGAAATACAGTCAAAGAAGTGTGAAATAGTGTTTCACTACATGATTATATGATGTTAGTTCAGCACCAAGGACAGGCACTAACGCCTCTTCTATGTTTGGTATTTGGTATAGAATGAAAATTCCACAGCTCTCATATATGTAGATTGAAGAGGCCATCTACATCAGGGCATTACAACCATCTCTCAATAAAGACGGAGGGCGCTACAGACTTTCCATGGTCCATTGCTCAGTGAGTCACGTGTGTCATCTGCATAACGTGATGTCACAGAATCAAGAGAAAGCTTTATTCCTTGACAAAGACTGGAGTTGTACAGTCAAAACTTTGTGTAAGGCAAATTTCTTGGAAATTACAGTTAAAACTTGCTGAACCGTAGCATACTCAGCAAAGTAGCAGCCCCATTTAAATACAATCCCATCTTTGAAATATATATTATTTAAGGTACTTTTAATTTGTTGGTGTTATTGATAGCTGCAATGAAATCAACTTTCATATCACCAGAAAGAGTGATATGAAATAATATACATTAAAATATTGTCTTAATATGATACTTTCAGTACAGTTTTCAAAATCAAAATATTTGGCTGAACACACGTACGTCTTTTGTGTGCAATTGAAAAAGTACTATGTGCAGAGAATAACAACAGAATGGAACAGCTGCTATTTGACTCATATCGTTTTACACTCACTTCAAAACTTGTTAGCTCTTGTGATGAAACTTGATACACTTTGATTCAACATTTGAATTAATGCAGTCGGCAACTGTTTAAAAATGTACAATATGTACAGAAATGTACTGCTTGCATGAGAAAATACATTTAAAACATGCAAGTCTTATCAGACTTTGATTTTATTTGTCTGCATGTGACTTCACTACCAAAAATGCTTTTTTCTTGTTTTTCTTGTACAAAGACAAGGAAGGAAATTATTCTTGGAATAAGAAATTAAAGAATCCCCGTAGCAAGAAAATTCAAGACACATATTTTGTGTTTCTTGAGTTTTCTTGCTGTAGCAAGAAAACAATTCTGTCCGCACAAGAAAATATTTCTTGAATTAAGAGCTAAGTGTTCTTGAAGCAAGAAAACCATTCTGTACACAAGAAAAGATTTCTTGTAGCAGAAAAAAAATTCTGTAAACTTCTAAAAATTCTTAAGATTCTTGTTGGTGAGCATGATTCATAGTAGATATATTTTCTTTTCTTAAGAAAAAAAGAAGAATAAAATTATTTGTGTAAGAATCAACATACAAAATGTTTGAACAATGCTTTTTGAATTTTCTTGAAAATCCCCCTGGCAAGAAAGTATTTCTCAACACAAGAAAATAAGAAAAAACATATTTTTGGTCTCAATTGAGACTGGATTGAGAGTTTTTTTGAGAGTCTGTCTCGTAAAAAAATGTTTTGGCTCTTAAGAGCTACTTGACTTTCTGCCATCTGCAATGTTAACAAGAATTCGCAGATCTCATACCTCCATGAAATATGTAGAGTTCATGTAAATATTTTTTGGGCATTTGATATAGCTGTATTAAATAAAACCCATACCACTTATTCCTGCTAGGAAAAGCTATGTGTCACAAAAAAAACCAAGACCATAAGCATGTTAAGGACAAAAGATACAAAAACCAGAAGTACTGCTGCAGTACCAAGGTCATCCACCAGGAGGCCCAAATTTGACCTTGATCTTTGTCTTCCTACGACCTACCAACATAGCCTGGGTACCATCCTATTTGTATGCCGGAGCTCCCACACTCGCTTCCCTAAAAAACTAGTTGTAAGGGAAGCGAGTGTGGGGGTTCCCGGCATACAAATAGGATGGTGGTACCCAGGCTATACCAACATGCCAAATAATTTGGCAAATATCATCACAATCCATAAAGGTGTTCTGAAGTTATGATGACTACAAATGTGGGGAAACAAACAAACACACACACACACACACACACACAGACAGACACACCAAAAACAATACGTCCATTTTTTCATGGAGATAAAAAAACAAACAAACCCCTCCTTACAAAAATTTGGACTGGACAATGACTGGACTGGACAATTTGTACTTTTTTTATTATCATTATTTATTAATGTTATTGTTTTTCCTTTATTATTATTGCCATTATCATTATTTATTGTATCCCTATTTTACTGTTTGTATGTGACTGTTGTGTTTTGTTTGTAAAACAGGGCCCCATTGAAAAGAAGTGTAATCACTTAATGGGCCACCCTGTATAAAGATGACGGAAAATAAAATAAAAATAAAATAAATCAGGTGGCTCAGAAGTTACCGCTGCAGGCGAACCACTGTAGTGCTGGGGAAAGGTTACATTCAGGTCAACGTCCTCTGGTACATGGTACGAATGTTAAGTACCTATAGGTCATGACATTGCCGCGTACTTTGTACTTTTCCCCACACGTGTCAACCAAAAACAAGCAGAACAAAGGCTCCTTGTGTCACATCGGCATTCCCCATGAAACTACCGTGACAGAAGGGTGCATAAACAAGTCAGACTTCATTTCGTGCAGGGGTGATTCCGAGGCGGTCAGCACTAGCTGGCGTCCGATTTGTGCCCTACAGGTGGGAAATAAAGTTCACTGCAAGTTCTAAATCTTTTTGGGAATGCTTGCTACGCTGCGTCGACATGCAGTTATAACATATAACAGCGAGCAGATTATTATAATTGGACTGAGCAGAGCACATTGGACTAATGCCTCTGGCCGTTTACAGCTTAGAGTTACATGTCCAATATTTTGTCAAAAACATTTCTGTTACATAGCGGATCATAATGACCCCCAGCGGGGGTCTTCATGCTTCCTTAATCTTGAGATCTTATGAGACAATCTCAAGATCATTCAGAAAATTTCAAGATGAAAACGAAAGGTCTCAAGATCTTCCAAGATATTTTTAAACCATCTTGAGATATTTCAATAGCATCTCCAGATGCTTTAAAAAATGTCAAGATTATTTAAAGATCTCATGATTTATAAAGCAATCTCGAGATGCTATGAAAAAATCTCAAGATGCTTTGGAAACACTTGGAAAGATCTTGAGACCTTTCGTTTTCATCTTAAGATTTTCGGAAAGATCTTGAGATTGTAATGAAAAATCTCAAGATTGCCTCATAAGATCTCAAGATTCGTGTAAAATACTGAGATCTTTGGAATAAATCTTGAGATTTTTCCATTTTTAACGAAGAGTGAAGACCCCTGCTGGGGGTCAATATGTAACAGGGATGTTTTTGACAAAATATTGGATATTTACCTCTAAGCTGTATAAAGCCAGAGACATTAGTCCAAAGTGCTCTGCTGAGTCCAATAATAATCTGCTCGCTGTTGTATGTGATACATCAAGCATGGCTGCTGACTGTTTTAAGAAGGCTAGAAGGAACAGTTTTCAACGCTTTGACAGACTTGGGCTTTTTCTAACTAAATACTCAGCTACACCGCGTTACGATCGAAATTTGCTAGAATTTGTGTTCAGAAGAGTTCAGTACTGTAACAGTATTTGGTTTGGTGGAAAAGTACATGTAGATATAGGTGTCAAGGTAGGGTGAAAAGTTGACCAGAATGTCCATTCCTGACAGCTAGAAGACAGACAGGTGAAGATGGCAGCAACAAGCGAGATTGCCATCCCACAGTGTGCAGAAGACATCGCCCCCTGCTGGGTGGAGCAGGTACTGCAGAAGGACCTGCCGGGCGTCTCCATCATGGACGTCCATGTCAAGGGATCCGTCAACCAAGGCGAGGGGTACACGAGCGACATCCTCGCTTTTGACGCCGTGGGGATCAGGAATGGCGCCAGTCGGCGCTACAGTCTCGTCGCTAAGATGACAGATTTCGAGCGCCCGCTAACGATAATTAAAGATTGGTCAAAAGACTTCACATCAGAATGGAGACGACCGAAGTCAAGTTTTATTCCAAAGCGGTCCCCGAGTTCCTCTCTGTGGCAATCCCAAGCACGGAGATCAAATCGAAGCCACTGAATGAAGATAACGAAAATCACCCCGCTGATTCCTTCAAGTTCCTCCTCCCAAAATGCTACTTCGCCGCCACCGACCCGAGCTCCATGGTGTCCGTCAGGGTTATGGAGAATCTGAAAACTCAGGGCTTCTCCATCAAAGCCAATCGCCAGCCGCTGAACCGTGAGGAGATGATGCTTACAGTCGGGGCCCTGGCGCAGCTGCACGGCCTGTCACATCGGCTGGAGCTCCGCGAGGGCGTCCCTCTTCCCGAGAAGTACGACTGGATCATGACCCTCTCAGATCTTTCAGATGAGATGATGGAATCAGCAACCTACCAGTATCAGACCGCTGTGAAGGCATTCGCCGCTGCCTTTCCTGACCAGGCAGATCTTGTAGCTCATCTGGAGAAGTTAGAACTGAAGGAGCTATTGAATCTCCTAAATGAGGACCCGAAGATAAAGGTGCTCAACCATGCAGAGTGTTGGATCAATAACATCATGTTTAAGGTGAGACATGCCACGATCTTTTCTTGTTTCAATCTCAAAACATCTAAACATTGTTAATTTGTTTCGTTCGTTTTCTGTAATTGTTTTACAAGAAGACGAAGGAAAACATATTGTTTTTGCTCAATTTCTTCCTCTTCTTCTTCTCCAAACAGTGACCTCTGACCTGACCTAGGACATGATTTGTTGACGCCTGTCACCATGGTGACTGGTGTTGGGTTACATAATGTTGCAATTTCATGGTCTGCTCTGCTCCTGTCACCATATACTAGTCGTAACGTTACATGTATGATTGTGAAATTCAATGTGTTTGAGTGAGAATTAACAGAGCAGACCATATTTGCTGTTTGTTTCTTTTTTTCCGAACACAGTACATTGAAGGTGTGCCCACTGAAATTATGTTTACCGAAGGAAAACATATTGTTTTCGCTCAATTTCTTCCTCTTCTTCTTCTCCAAACAGTGACCTCTGACCTGACCTAGGACATAATTTGTTGACGCCTGTCACCATGGTGACTGGTGTTGGATTACATAATGTTGCAATTTCATGGTCTGCTCTGCTCCTGTCACCATATACTACATGTAGTCGTAACGTTACATGTATGTCATGTGAATGTGTTTGAGTAAAAATTAACAGAACAGACCATATTCGCTGTTTGTTTCTTTTTTCCGTACACAGTACACTGAAGGTGTGCCCACTGATGTAAAGCTTGTGGATTGGCAGACTCCTATGTACCTGCCGCCGACCCATGACCTGATTCTCCTGTTCCTTTGTAACACGAGTTGGGACGTCTTCCACAACCACAGGGACGCCATCCTGGCTCACTATCACCACAAACTGATGGAGACCCTGGGTCCAAATGGTGAGAACCCCCATTTTTAGTCTTAGGCCACACCAATTTAATTTCTTGGTTAACGGATTTGCCCGCTTCATTTTTTTCTAATTTGCCAAAAAAAAATTCAGAATCAACAGTACTGCAAAATGCTCATATTTTGCCCCGAACAGTTGAGAACAGTCATTTTCTTCCTAGTTGTTACAGTTATTCCATCTTTCAATGCATGCAGTGGTATCATTAATAGTTCAAAATTCATTGTTTAAATTTTGAACCAGCCTGGTGTGTTGACTTCATGGCTCCTATCGTACCATTTTGGGCCATAATATGATGCCTAGGCCTGTTTTATTTTAATTTTTTTCGCCCGCCTGCTCCATTATTTTTCTAGAAAAATCCGTTAACCAAGAAATTAAATTGGTGTGGCCTTAGTGTACAAATTTTGCAGTAGAGCATTTGAGCTAATTAGATCAACTTTGTTTTCTTTTGCACCATTGACGTAACAATAACTGTAACAACTAGGATGAAAAGGACTGTTTTCAACTGTTCAGGGCAAAATATGAGGCTCAGCATTTTGCATTTGATTTTGAATTTTTATTTTTATTTGCAAATCAGAAAAAAATGAAGCGGGCGAATCCGTTAACCAAGAAATTGAATTGGTGTGGCCTTATATATTCTTCTAGTTCTAGAATCCTCTGGCTTACAGAGCTACACACTGGACCAGCTGAAGGCAGACTTCAAAGCCGACTGTGGGCACGGGGTGCTGAACCGGTTGTGCCGTTTGATGGTCCTGCCGGCGGATCCAGATCTGCTGCAGATCCTCCAGGAGATCCAGGAGTGGGGAGTCATCTAAATGTACACATTTCCAGTTTTTTTGTCTACAACATGAGGGAGCAGTGCCCTCATTCTCCTGTCCAGAAAAACCCCTGCATTTCAGTATGCATTAACTGCAGACATGTCACTGTAGCCGATATGCCACTATAGTCCATCAACAGTCATGACCAATACAAGTCAAAGAGGGAAGAGCACATGTTTCAGTTGTTGGAAAATGTTCACTATGATCATGCAGATTGCTGAATTATCCTTTTCTGTTATATCCTGTGACATACAAATGTAATAAGCAGAGGACTTATCAGGCGTTTGAGTTTGCAAGTAACATGCCATTTTGAGAGTCGAGTCATTGTATCTCATAGAGGTGGAGGACAAAAGTTGTGTTAACAATATACAATATCTGTCTATTAACTAAGGTCTATTATTAATGATCTACTTATTATTTCATAGAATTGCTCCTACATGTACAAATGTATAACCTACATGATTGTATACACCTGAAAAGGTGTTCAATAGTATGTGTAACCCAGTGAAAGTATATAGATATTCAGAGTTTAAATAAATGTCTTTTTTTTTATATAAGCCACACCGATTTAATTTTATGGATGACATCTGCGCGCGCATTGATTTTCGCCCGATCTACAAAAAAAAAAAAAGAGATCACGTATTCCGAGGCTCTGGCCTGGCTTTAGGCCTGGGTAGTGCATGGTGGTGATAACTCTGGTTGACGGCAGCCAGGCTACCGAAGCTCCAAGACTCAAGAACTCAGTACATACGTACAGCAGTGTCGATTCATATTTTCCGCAAAAATCCAGCATGTGTCGGCCTGTCGTATACGTCGCTATGTAATACGCCAAATTCACAATACCAGGTTTGTATTCCTGTGGTTTTGTAGCATTTTTATTTTTGGCCGGATTTTTATTTTTTTCGCCCGCGCGCACTAGTTTGGGGGTCTTCAGAGGATGTCATCCATAAAATTAAATCGGTGCGGCCTAAATATATGGAATAAAATCTGTCCTTAGAAATCCAAGACCATAGCATGTTAAGGGCAAAAGATACAAAATCCCGAAGTACTGCTGCAGTACCAAGGTCATCCATCAGGAGGCCCATATTTGACCTTGATCATTGTGTTCCTACGACCTACCAACATATCAAATATCATAATCCATAAAGTTTTTCTGAAGTTATGATGACTACAAATGTGTCGAAATACACACACACACACACACACACACACACACACACACACACACACACACACACACAGACACACCAAAAACAATACCTCCATTTTTTCATGGAGGTGATGAAAGCCTGAGACCACTTGAACTTCGAGTAGCACTTTGCTGCACTCTCCACCCAACTTTAAGTCCCTCCACTCAATCATGATTTCTACCATGACCAGCTTTTCAAAACAACATATTATTCAGGTGCTGAGTCAATCAAACAAAAAAAAGCTCAAAATTTAAAGAAAGGGCTTGTTTTTCTAACATAAATGTTACAGATTTTCCATTTATCAATGCAGCCGTTTGATTAAAAGTTTTAAATTCATTGTTTGAATTACAAACCTGGTCCAGTATGTTGACTTCATGGTTCTTATCATAGCATCTGGGCCTATCATACATGTAGGATGCCCCTTTTTCATATTTTTTCTAACTAACAAACGAAACTGGTATGGCATAATGAAGATAAGAATTCAATATCATTGCCTTAAGCCACACCAATTCAATTTATTGGTTAACGGATTCACCCACTTCATGTTTTTCTGATTTTCAAATAAAAATAAAAATTCAGAATCAACTGCAAAATGCTCATTGCCCTGAACAGTTGAAAACAGTCCTTTTCATCCTAGTTGTTACAGTTATTCCATCTTACAATGTAATGGTATCATTAAAAGTTCAAAATTCATTGTTTGAATTTTGAACCAGCCTGGTGTGTTGACTTCATGGCTCCTATCGTACCATTTTGGGCCATAATAGGATGCCTAGGCCTGTTTTTATTTTTATTTTTTTTCGCCCGCCCGCTCCATTATTTTTCTAGAAAAATCCATTAACCAAGAAATTAGCCTTATAAAAATATTTTCTATTTCACACCTGTATTTCCATTTTCGTCTTCCCTGATGTGTAGATCTTTGCTGGATGTCTCTAGTTCAATCAGATCTCTCAGTTCTTCCATGTACACCTCTATGTAGGAGACCAACACTGTGTAGTCCACATTGTGGTTCTGTGCGATGGTGGAAAAGATCTGCTTGATGGCACGAGGGATGATACCATACTCGTCTTCTGTAATGGTGTCTGAAACAAATAAAGTCAACAAAAAATTAGTCTTAACCTATTTGCATGTCAATCAATAGTTCGTGCTTATAAAGTAGACTTTCTCCTGGAGTCTCTTAGTGTCAATGACGAAAGTTAGAGGATGCTACCTGAAACCATTTCCAAAACTAGAGGTCGGAGATCTCATGTCTTCGTCAGAGGTACATCGTTCTAGAGAAATTAACATGCGTATTCTTCACTCTTTTTAATAATCAATTTGGTCTAAAGAACAAAAGAATCTCTGTACTATTTTATGGTACAGAACACCCTGAAACGGTTTGCCGCAGATTATACAGATGCGTCGTCACCCGTGTTAGCCCCCCCCCCTACTTTATTTGAGTTTGGACTGTTACTGGAAAAAAAAAAACGTTCAAGAAATTCTAACTGTGTTAAAAGTGTCACGACAGCGCCGCAAAATATAATAAGAGAAGATGTTATAAAGGAAAGAATCAGAACAGGGTGACTACTGCTGTTTTGTTAATTTGTCTTTATGACAAATAGGAGACTTGTTTCTTGTGTTCTTTGTGTCCTAACATTTGTACTTCTACAGTTAGTATATTCCAAATCTAGGCATCTCGTTTTTCGGCCCTTCGTGTTTTTATTGCGCGCTTGCCTTAAATTTAATTAGATTTAAGGTCTCCAGTGGACGTCATCCATAGCAATTACTTGGTGTGACCGTAGAAAATAACCTGACATATGTCCAACCTATCCTCCCCCTGCTGAAGTTATAGTACAATCCCTCAATGTAACGTCATTTGATCCCATCCCATTATGGAGTTCCCGGCTATATCCAGCTGTCGGCTGTTTCCAAGCAGATGTAGGTGGGGATTTCTAAACACAAAAGGTCCTATTACGGGGACATAACGACCTCCACGACTCTCATCTTTGAACTCAATCTTGGAGACCACGACAGTAATATGCCTATCAAATTTCATTAACTTCCATCCACACATACAAAAGTTATCCTGCTCACAAGAAAAATTAACAAAATGCCCCCTGTAGTCACAACGAAACCCCCCACGAAGCTCAGTAACGAACTTAACCTTGGTCCCGACAATAGTAAGCACCACACCAAGAATTGTAATCAACATTTTACAAATACTTGAGTTATCTTGCTAACAAGCCACAAACACAAAAGGTGCACTAATGTGACGCACGGACCCCCCACGAAGCCGAAACTTGTACTTGACTTCGGCCTCAACAGCGGTAATCTACCTGCCAAAAATCATGGACGTCGAATCATGCCTTCCAGAGTTATATCGCAAAATCCGCAGTTCCCCACACTCCGGCGAGACAATTTCATAGTCCTTCTGACGAAGACAATTATATCCAGTTGCTTGAGTAACTATTTTTGGCGTAAAATCAACAAACCATTGCTTCCAAAAGGGATTGTATTGCACACTGTCTTGGACACAAATACATTGTGTACAAACTTAATTGTACCTTAAGTTTGTGGTTTGATGCAGTGTTCTAGCCATCATGCATTTTTTTCCGACATCTCAATTTTGTTTTGACGTATCATCATGTTGAGCGCCAGAGTATCTTGAAATCTTGACCCTCTGAAATGCTATTTCCTGCATTTTGAGGGGCTAATTTTGCTGGTAGACCTTACTTTAAGCTACCCATTTGTTCATCCACGATAATGGATTAAACTTTTTCTGTCAGAAAGCATAAAATTTAATGAAATGTTATATTATATAATATCTAAATACATAACCATCAATATTACAGGGTACAGACTTTGTTTCAGAATATTTGCAAATCTAGACTCCCTTAAATTCCACACAGTCAATATTGACAGTTGTTACGAGGGAGAAAGTCTGACTTGAAGAACAACATTCTTCTTAATTATAATCCTCTCTTGCCTGTTTTTTTATACTATGATTATGAAGCAAAACAAGCCTTAGGATAATCAGAATTGAAGTATCAGAGATCCCTTTGTTATCACAGTTAGAAGATCATTTATGATTGTCATTTTCAAATGTGAGTCATAGAAATAAGAATGGCACAACCCCTATATCAACTACAACAGTGACACAAGGTGGCACATGTAGCCTATCATGTAGACTGAAAGGCATGAAAAATTGATTAGAAAATTTGTTGGCCCAACTGGGTGGTCCAATCTTCCTAGTTAGGCCTAAGGAAAATCAATGTTATCTTAAGTTTCCAGTTTCAGTCCTGAAAAATAGGGTCATTAGGTAGGGATTTTCTTTTTTTCTTTAGTTATTTTCTTTCCAGATTTTGGATAAAATGATCCAAAAAATAAAGTTTAACTTTAAGAATGCATCGGAACTGTATCAAGGACCCATCCACCTGTTTGCTTGTGGACAAATATTTCACTTGATTTACAGAAGAAAAAAATTATTCTTAAAATGCATTAAATGATTGGAATTTCTATGGCCAGCAGTCAACAAAAAAATGTCTATGGGTTTTTGCTAGGGTCAGTCGGGAGAAATATAACTTTTTTCCTAGGCCTCGGTGAGTCTGCCACAATTGACACACTCCTAGCTATACATTGTACTTTATTGACAGTGGGTGGAATATGGGTATCATCTGGGAGTATTACTGAAAGCAAAACTAAAGCTTTCCCTAAGGCCACACCAATTTAATTTGTTGCTTCTCGGATCGTCCTGTCCACTTTTTTTTCTGATTTGCAAAAAAAAAAAATTTTTTTGTTCTAAATTACATGCAAAATGCTCAATGACAGACATGTTTTGGCCTTTTCATATAGTAATATTTCCGGCTAACATGGGGTGCCTTGGCCTGTTTTTATTTTTGTTATTTCACCCTGTCGCTTCATATTTTTTCTCCCAATATCCGAGAAACAACAAATTAAATTGGTATGGCCTTTGGGGTTAAAGTTGCCTCATGCAAAGTGATATAATGGCAGTACCAGTATTGCATTGTCCTCCCCAACAATGTAATACTAAACTATCAGATATCAAATATGTCAAATCTGTCTACATTCTATATTACCAAATAGTTTTCTTATTTGGTTGTAAGAATGACAAATTTTCTGAAATTTTTCAGTAATATTTGAAAAAGTAATCCAGCAGAACAGAAGGTTTCAAAGAAGCTAGGGATGTTTTGCATTATCTGTCATGCAAGACTGGCTATATGTTATATTCACAAATGTCTATGTTTATGAAATTATGGTTCTTAACATTTACCTTTGCAAATGCTATAATTCAAAATGTCATGTAGACAACAGTGTTATTCTCTATGGAAATAGATTTAATTACTAAAATGGATTATAGTTTAATAATACATGTCTGGTGGATAGTTTTTCTCAAAAGGAATATACACTGGGCATAGATATTGATATGTATAAAAAAACCTGACTACATGTAACTTAGTAAACCATGTCTGCTAAACAGTATATTAGAAAAATGAAGCTGGCTTATTTTTTTAACTTTCAAATTGAACTATATTGATTTTGATATGATTCAACTTTCAAGTTATTTCATGATATCAACCATGATTTAGTCATAGTGCACTGATTATAATACTAATTACGGTCATAAGAAAATATCTCTTTGAGCACAAAAATATATCTTTGAGCGCAAAAATTCTATTTGTTAAATATCTCTTTGTGCACAAAACTTCTTTCTACAAAAAAAAGGGTCTATCCGTACAAGTATATCTGAGGCCTACAAAAAAAAATATTGTGTTTCCTGACTGACCCTAGAAAAAACTGCCACCCTAGACTTTTTTGGGGGGTGGACCCCTGCAAGGGAGATAAATTTTTCGAACCTTTCGAACCAACCTTTTCTTGCTCCATGATCTGACACAATTGTACAATCATATGATAAAACATTGTACAATTGATTTTCTAATATTGACATTGAAAATAAAAGTGCCCTCATGCAAGTTTTACTTTAAATGTTAAAACTGTATTGTACGAGTTGGACCCCTATATACATATCATCACTGAAGTCTAAACGAAAAAAAAAGATCATCCCTACCTACCGACCCAAATTTTTCAGGACTTAAACACTCAGAAACACAACATTTTTTTTCCTAGGCCTGAGAGAAATAACACATTATTCCCACATTATACATTCATCATCTCCGTCTCGTGAGAACAAGAGGTGTATACAGGCAAGACGGATAACTCGCAAATTCCATAAAGGTCACCTAATGAAGGACATGGCAGAAACCAATCAATATAAGCAGCTTGCTCAAGTGCAAAATAGACAAAACAAAACAGGGCTTCAAATCGTTTTTTGCATACAAGTTAGGTGCAGGCAATATTCAAAATTACCTGCACCAGACAAGTTTTACCTGCACTACATGTAGTTTCTTTGCCTTTCTGCAAAAATCTTTTTTTGCATACAAGTTAGGTGCAGGCAAAATTCAAAATTACCTGCGCCAGACAAGTTTTACCTGCAGTACATGTAGTTTCTTTGCCTTTCTGCAAAAATCTTTTTTTGCATACAAGTCAGGTGCAGGCAAAATTCAAAATTACCTGCACCAGACAAGTTTTACCTGCACTTATGTAGTTTCTCTGCCTTTCTGCAAAAATTGAAATGTTTTGAAAAAAAAAAAAGTTCCTAAAATTCAGTCTTAATGAATATTAAGTCAGCAAACTATGATTATATATCAATTTTGTTTCAGATTGGATTTGATATCTGCAGGTTTTTTCAGACTGATTATTTGATTTTTTTCTTCTTCTGCAAGTCACATTTGTCCAAGTTATCACCTCATTCTATAATCTGGCCAACAGGCCATAACAACTGCTTTTTCTCGGTCCCATTTTTTCCCATAGATGCAAGCATTAAGGGACTTCAACCACTTGTCCAATGCGAACGCACTATATCATGACTACGTCATTTTCAAGCATGTGGCAGAAAAAATTTTTGATGACAAGTACTAGCAAGAAATCTTGATGGAATCAAGACCAGTTTAAATGCCATATTTCAATAACAGACCGTCTTTACACAATGTAAAATGGCGCCGGCTGGGTCACTTTGGGTCATCGGGGCTGTTTATTGCTACAGATTTCTTGTTCTTATTCTTGTCTTGCCATGCTTTTTGCACAAAAAAAAGATGACCACTTGTCTAAGAAGACCATGTATCCTTGGTGGCCAAGTTTGACTGAACATCTGTGCATTAATAATAGCACAGATCCCGTTGAAGACCTTTGAACGTTGCCAGATCCTTTAGCTTGAATATAAACACTATGCCACGGAGGTAAACATCTCTGAAAGACTGGGTCATTGTGCAGGTGGGTACATGTACATGACTGGAAGGCTCTTCAGACAGTCTTTGTGCAAACAATGTTATTGATTATAGTAAGGCAGCAGTGGCATAAATAAACTAACCACAGTCTAGCTTTACAGGTGCATTTCCAGATGGCTACAGGTTTAACATTAAATTTTGTGCATGCTAATTGTAAGACTTACATTTGTAAAGATTGTAGCAGCAGGCATTTGATAATCTTAGAATTACAAAATATGATTTATAATTATATGAATGACTTTTGCATCTAGTTTTCGTGAAGAATAATCTGAATATGAAATTCTGCATGTTGAACATATCAGACAGTGTTCCCTTCAGACTCTGGAATAATGACAGTCACTGCTTTATTGCTATAATTACAGTGCTGCTACACACATTTTAAAATGTAGGGTGTTTTTTCCCTATTTTCCCCAATGATTTTTTTGAAGTTTATCAAAATTCCCCAGGTTTGCAGGCACATACCTCGTTTCTTCCGGGAGCACCCACTAGTGTGTATTGAATATTTTCCTCAATTATGAGAACATGCTATTGGAGATTTTCTTAATGTATCTTGAACATCTCGAGACGAAAAGGCCTGAACTTCAATTTTCCATGTAGATTTTTTTTAAATTGCATGTAAATTCTCTAATTCAACATGCAATTTTGCACGTACATCATTATCAATCAAAAACAACTTATAATATTAATTAGTTACACACCTGTATTTCCACCTCCCACAATGGTATACGTCTTTCCAGATCCAGTCTGACCGTATGCAAACACGGTGGCGTTGTACCCCTCGAAACAGCTCTGCACGAGCGGCTCGACAATCTTGCTGTACGCCTCATCCTGGGATGTCTTGGAGGACAGCACGTGGTCGAACGTAAAGGCGCGGTCCTTGCCCAGAACCAGCTGGTTCGCACCTGGTATCACGCGTACGCAAACCTATTGATGCAGGGGAGAGATTGAAGTAGACAGTTGAAACTCTTCCAGATGTATACGATAGGTTTGCCACTGACAACAATATCACATGCTTTTTTTTACTCCAGCAAAAACTAATGATACATCCAAACAACAGGGAACAAGGAAGGATGAGCACCCACTCACTCACTCACTCACTCACTCACTCACTCACTCACTCACTCACTCACTCACTCACTCACTCACTCACTCACTCACACACTCACTCGCACTCACTCACTCACTCATTCTCCCACTCACTTACTAAACTCACTCACTCACTACAAAGTTAACTGATGGAGATAGTCATGCCTAGACGTCACAAGTTTAATACACAGTTTTGAGTTAAAAGACTAATTCATAGTCGACTGAAGCAGATAACAGATAATAAGGACGAAAAAACAAATACATGTAGTCAATTTTCTGGTTGGATTTCTTTTCTCCTTTGCAACTAAGTGCCATTAGGAAGGGTAGGTGCCAAAATATGATGCCTTATCATGACTGTGTTTGAAAGTTGGAAACACAGCAGCTGTTGGCCAAGTATGTTTACATTATAGTAGTTTGTGGTGCCACCACAAACAGGGTAGGCCTCATAAGTGACAATCATAAATGTCAGAAATGTGACTGTGAGATAATTGCACAAATATGTTAAAAAAAGAGAGTAAAACACTGTCACACAAACATTTTTTTAGATAATATATTTAAGTTTTTCATGTAAAAATGTAACATATTAATGCCCCTTTAAACTATCACTATTTCAGACAACTCTGGTACATACCTGGTGATTATGAAGTCGCTCCCTTGGAAGAAGGGGTCTGACTCTGACTGCCACCCGTACTGGCACTTCTGGACCCTGCATTTCTGATGCCTTTCAATATTCCAAATTGCTGCTGATATGTGAGATTCTAATAAAAGAAAAGGATACATACATGTGTACATGTATTATAATTTATATTGTACATTGGCTCAATTTATTCCAGTAAACTTGGAGCAAGGACATTATACAGAGAAAAATTGTCAGGGTGCTGCAATTATGATAATATACATTTAAACCTTGTCAAATGATCAGTTGTAGTCTCATGAACTGATCAACTGTTAACCAAGTAACATCTGTTGCGAATAAAATATCTAGCTGCAGTAGGGTGTTGAAAGGCTCTTCAGTCCAATTACGATATTTTGCCAACAAAACAGAAGATAGATAAGTTGACAAATTATGATATTTTTTCAACAAAGTAGAAGATATAATGAGTTCACAAATTATGATGTTTTGCCAAAAAAATCTATGATACTGAGTTGACTGAGGTTGTACCAAACACTAGACATGACCTTTATCATATTCTGAATATTTTCATGCAAAATTAATACTAAGACATCAGGGAATTCAACTGCTGACTATGTTCATATAAATCAATATTGGAGGAAAAAAGGGCCTAGAAAAAAAGGGCCTAGAAAAAATTTTTTTAACATTTCAAATCCTCAAGATCCTGAAATGTGAATGAATGAATGAATGAATGAATGAATGACTGGTTTATTAGGTAAAACATTGCAGCCCGTCAGGCTGAAATACGTTCTACTTACATAGTACATGAAAGTACGTTTCATCACTTACATAGGACACAACTCAATATGACGAATAGCATAAAATATTACATAGTATTAAAATGTCGATTAAAATAAAATATTACAATAAAAAAACATCTGAGTGTGGTTGATTTACAACGTATTATTTGTTCGTGTTAAGCAGACTCAGTAGAGACGGTACAGGGCTGTTTTGAAATCGAGCAGTGCGGCAAGGCGCCAGTGTCATTTTGTTAGAGTTTCTAAGGTTCCTGCCGTGCTCCTGTCGCCGTGTGTTGGGGAGGAGATCAGTTGTGCGCTCCGATGTTGTCATGCTGTGTGCAAACTTGGTGCAGAGGACCGCCCGTCTCTTCTCGAGTGTTTCAAGTTTGCACATCTGTAGCCCCGTGGTGTAGTCTGTATACTTCTGACCCAAGATAATCCGGCATGCACGTTTCTGTACTCGTTCCATTGTTGCAGTTTGTTTGCGTGTAAGTCCGTGATGCCACACTGGTGCGCAGTACTCAAGGATCGGTCTTATGAAGCCACAGTACACTGTTACAAGGTCCTCCACTGGGACTCCAAATGACTTAAGTCTGCGTAACATGAACAGTCGCTTGTTGCCCTTCTTTGTTGTTTCACTCACTTGCGTGTCCCATTTTAGGTTCGACTGAAGCCAGACACCTAACACCTTGGCGATTTCCACTGTTCTTAGGGGGTTACCGCAAAGACTGATGGGTACAGGTGGACTCGGATTCCTCATAAAGCACACTGTGAACACCATGCACTTTCCGGGGTTGAGTTTCAGTTGTGCACTTTCAGACCACTCCGCTAGGGAGTTAGCTTGGTCTTGAAGGTGGGATTCTTCGGAGTTGTGTCTGTTCTCTCCCAGCGATAGGTCATCCACGTATTTCCACCGATCATTGAGTGATTGACAGGCATCATTTATCATGCAGAGGAAGATGATTGGCCCCAAACTTTGTGCCTTGTGGGACACCGGTGGTAAGAGTTTCACAGTCTGAGAGTGACTGTCCATACCGGACTCTTTGTCGTCTTACTGTGAGAAAGTCCACTATCCACGGCACAATGGACGGTCTTGTCTCCATGTTAAGTAGTTTCAAAATGGCCTGATGGTGGTTGATGGTATCAAATGCCTTAGTAAAGTCCGTTAATAGGATTGTTCCCACGTTTTTGCTTCTTTCAGCACCTTGGTAGAGAAAGTGGGTGAGACTAATCAGGTAGTGGTTGGTCGAACTTCTCTTGATCCCCCAAACTGACGTTTGTCGATGTTGTTCCATATGTCTGACAGCACCCATTTTCCTACGATGCCTTCGCAAATCTTCGCAAATATTGCAGTCAGAGATATCGGACGCAACTTGTCGATGACTGCTGGCAGTTCCTTGGGGATAGGCGTGACTACTGCTTCCTTCCACTGGGCTGGAACTGTACCTGCTATCAGTGAGGTGTTAAAAATGTCAGTGAGTGGTTCTGCGAGTTCACATGCGAACATTCTAACCAGTCGGGGAGCGATACCGTCCGGACCTCCCGCTTTACGAACTCTGACTCGGGACAGCTCCATGTACATCTCCCACGGCATGATCTGTGGCGGTGGGGAGGGTGCAGGTAGGTAGGCTGGTAGATCGCTGGTGCACACCTCTGGGGACTGCTGTGAGATCGATGACAGGTGTTTGTTTATCGCGTCTGCGTCCGACGTGAGTTAATGCACTTTCAGAAGCAACCTTTCCTTCTGGTGTATTCGTTGTCCACATGCAAACAGGTAAATGGGCCCTTGAGACAGTACTGATACATTGTTAAAAACTTTATTTGTTGGATCATTTCTACTGAAATCTAAAAAAAAAATCCCTACCTAGTCTGACTCAGTTTTTTCAGGACGACGCTTTAAACATAACATTAATTTTCCTTGGCCTAACCTGTGATTTCCAAAGGCTGAGCTCACATATAGTATATATAATTGGTTTCTGCAGAATAATGACCCCAATATGGGTTCTCTTTTGTAGTCCAACAAAAGCTCAAAGAAAAGGTATCATCATGGGACGTAAGTCTGACTCATCACCCACATACTAGTACATGTATCTAAGGCAATAATGGGAAAATTGCCCTATACAATAGCAAGGTTGGAAATGATAACACCCGTACACTTCCATGATCTTTTTTCATGAGCACTTTTCAAACGAACAGAAAATACACCCTTTTTGGAGGGCCTGTATGGGGGGGTAGTGATTATGGATTACGCAAAATTTTTGCTGCCAATTACAAATTACGTTAAATTCTCAGAGCTAATTATGACTTTACACTTTGCGGATAATGTATTATTACGAATTGCGTTGATTTTGGGGAGGCTGCCTACAGATTAAGAAGTCTAAAAAGGCATGATTACGCCTTACGAAAAAGGGCATGCAGGCCCCCTTTTTTCTCAGTCCACAGCACTAGCTATTTGATCATGCTCAGAATTTTGATACAATAAGAATGTGATCACGTCAGTTCATAAATATAGGAGACGTGACTAATGTTAACAACACAAAACTGGGCTCAAAATACTGGGTGCACATGCACCTTAGTGCAGGTAAAACTGGAGCTGTACTGAACCTGTACTGGTCCATTTACTAGGTTTTTATACACATGTAAGGTTACAAGTAATGATGTAGGTACATGTATATGTAGATTTTTATTTGCATTGACTCAATGATGACTGTAATTACCACATATAAAGTACCAGTATAAAAGAAATAATAGTTTTTAGTATGATCCATACTTCTCAAAGTCTGAGTGGTGTAGGTAAAATTTGTATGGTGCAGGCGATTTTCAGTCTTACCTGCACTGGTAGAAAAAAGTACATGTATTTCGAGCCCTGCAAGTCTTTGTTTCGGTGTGTCCTCATATCGTTTTGTGCCGTTATAAATTATGGAAAATTCTGAATCCGAATTTCTGATCTATTATTATGGCTAGATATTATAACACCTACTGTACTTTCCCGACTGGTACAATTTCAACCCTGTGAATTCCGTGCAAAAAAAAAAAAAACATATGCATAATTCTATGAGGGGTAAATTATACAATTTCTTCAGTTTCAAACGGTATCAACAAAGTTCTGATGCATAACAGGTGTTTTGAACCCTCTCACAAGTCCCGCTCGGAAAAATTGGCCGCGTAATATTGAATCTACGGGACGAAACCTTTCCACTTACCTCAGGTTTTACTGACAAAGCAGTCGTGTGCTCTCTCGGATGTAGATTTTTGCGATTCCGGCCGCCGTTAGGAGTCAGACGACAACAAAAACAACCGTAGAAATAACCAACAGCCGTCCGAGTCCGCCATGTTGAAACTATGTCAACTACCCAAGCTGCCCCGGGTAATAGTCTAGTTTTCAGACTCGGTAGGATATTTAATTTGAACGTGTTGGTTTCGCCAAATTACGCTTAAACGGATAATTTACATCCAACAGGTATATGCAAGTTATAATAACTGTTATGTTTTATTATCAATGATTTACTATTGTCAGTTACGCAAATTTGTTGAACTTTTAGTGTTGGAGTCCCAGTTTTTGATGACTGAATATCGAGGCTATTTTAGCCCCACTTCGCATGCGCCGTAACCCTTGATCACCCAAGGTGGGAGGGCGACGTGCAAGAGTTTTTGTCGAAGTTTACATCGAAATGTCTCGGTTAAAGGCCTTAATTCGGCCCTCCGTAAGGTGCATTGCTCACAGAAGGTACTGCAGCACCGAGAGGGTGACCAACGCCCTGGTCACCGAGTACAGGAACGACATTTTCGAGGAGGAGAAGCGGCGACAGCAGGGGTTGGTGCGGCGACTGGAGAAGATCGAGGTCGTTCACGTGGGGCCCAACGACCCCGGCACTTTCGTCATGAACAAGAACCTGTCCACGCCTTACCACTGTGCCATGCGTGAGTGTCACAGTGATATTTTGTTAATCTCCAGGCAAATCATACTGTGGCAAGGCGCCAGAGGAGCCATAATAGTTTTAGCCACCTCTGACCATGCCGGCCAATGGATTAACTAACTGTACTGCCTTGCCACCGTATGATCTGCTTGGAGATTAGTGAATAGTGAGTGTTAGCATCGCCAACAACGTTATGTTTTCGCATGGAGGTAAAAAAAAATTACACTTACCTCCATGGTTTTCAGTAGCGTTTTGAGAGTGTCTCTTGTGCGTGTGTGCACTGTGTGTCAACACGATAACTCATGAAAACTCTTGATGGATTGTCTTTATATTTATCAACTCTACTCTACTCTACTCTTATATTTGGATATGTCTTGATATAAAGCTTTGTAAACTAGTAGCTTGTTTCGCAGAGAGGTAGGTGTTGATGAGACCTAAAATGATTAGATGTCAATTTTGGGGTCTCCTGGTGGCTTGTTATGGTACTGCAGTGGAACTTCCGGTTTTGATATTTACCTTCGCCAAGAAGTTTAAGGTTATGAACTTATGTTTTGAGAAACGTTCATGTGTGTGTCTGTGTATCTGTGACTGTGTCTGTGTGTCTGTAAACACAATAACTTGATAACACAATTATTGATCAATCAAAAATGGTTTATTGGTTAATAATCATGAACATTGCAGCAGAAAGCTGAATTGCGTTCAAAGATGTACATTGTTAAAAACGTTCACGGCGACAGTCTTAAAATGGAATTGTGACAGTTGAGTTGCACTTGATGACATAAAAACATTTACAAATGTTACAAAACCGCATTTACACATCACATTACATGCACATACATTTTGCATACTCAAATTCAAATTTTGCTTAGTCATATTTCTATTTTGCTTATAGAAATTACATTAAAATAATTCATATACAAAATGTGCAAGATATATCAGAAACATTTGACCACAACGATGCATAGCTGTTTTAACACTCATTTTGTAAATACAATGTAATACTAATGGTGAACAGTTAAAAGACAAGTTGAGCTGGTTAAGCTACATGTAACACTAAAGTAACGGCAGCAAATGATCTTCCTATTAACTGTGTTGGTTACTGTGTGTTAGATGTTCAAATCATGGGGAAAGTCTTAGAAAAACGAAGGGTAATCATTTTCGAGGACGAGGGGGAATGTCCAGCCCCTGGTGTGCTACGTATGAATGTTTTTCAATTCGGGGACCAACCGTTTGGGCTAGGTGCAAAGGGTAAGGAAAAGGATTCAGATCAACCGTGGATCTGGAGTGAAACAATTAAATCTATCAAGAAGCAAGGGTCTTCAACAAAAGAAGATTGGAGAGTAGGTCTCGCACATGTATGTGGTAGAAATAAGGCAACAGTGCCGGCAGTATTATTTGGAACCCTGTGCTAATGTACATTTTTCATAAGTATCTTTCCTTACATTGCGCTAACCATTGTAGTGTATTCATTGCCTGGACGCTGGTCAGCTGACTGGACAACCTGGTAAACGCTTTTGACAATATCATGAGAACCAGCCATGGTATCACCCGCTGCTATGTGAACCATGTTGTTGTTCCCTTGCACTTTGATACTTTTGTTCTTTCCACTGGGCAAGAGCCTCCTGATTACATTCTTTTTACCCTTTTCCCTGCTGCTTGCTGGGGGTGCGTTCCTCGTGGAACGAGGCGGTGGTGGTTCTGGTACTTCCACCGGCACTTCAGGTTCCTCTTCTCCCTCTATGGTCTCGTAGTATTCCTCGCTGTCATCGCTAGAACTAGAGGAATCATTCGCCACTCCCTCTGCCACGTGGAAGGGACTGCCGACTGGTGCCACGTAAGGAGCCTCTTCAGCTGCTTTAACTTTAAGGTTCTTGCGGAATTCCTCCAATTCCAGCTCGGTCTTCTCCAGTCTGTCCTCAGTCTTCTTCAGTCTGTCCTCAGTCTTCTCCAGCCTCTCCTCAGTCTTCTTCAAGAATTCTTTCTGCTGCTCATACTGCTCCTTCTTGGTGTCAGCCTGTGATTTTGCCTGCTTGTCTTTTTCCTCGTGTCGTATCATCGTCTTCTCCATCTCGTGTTGGGCTTGGAGCAGGCTTTTGTTTTCCTCCTTAAGAGACTCGTTTTCTTTCATCACATTTTCCCTCTCAGCGACTGCCTCGTCTCTTTCCTTGGCGTTCTTGTCCTTTTCTTTGATGATGCTTTCGCGGCTAGCTTCCAGAGCCTTCTTCTCGTCTTTAAGGCGCTCTTTATCTTCTGTTATGCACTGCATCTTGCTGAGGAGTGACGACACATATGCAAGAAAATCTTCTTTTGAACTGTGCTTCATCTGCGAATGGATTTTCTCTACCTCTAGGGTCGCCTTGGCCCTCAAATCATCCGAGCATTGTTTTGGATACTTGCATGCTTCATCCATCATAATGTGACTGCAGATGAGATACAAAACAGGACGATTTGTCACTTGTGCTGCTGAACTTGAATTGTATGCTACAAACAGTAATGGCAATGTTTGCACTGATGATGGCACTAACTTAGCTTGAATTATGAACATTTCATTACAGAAATTACAGATAATTATATGTTATAGATATTAGAAAGAACATGTAAGTAAACCTAAAATCATGAATTTTTTATATTTTAATGAGTTAATTGGAATGTTCTAAAAACTACCTGTCAGAAACCTGTTGCCATGGCAACACGAAAACCCATTAAAAATCCAAAACTTATCAAACTAAAACTAACTTTATTGCAAGATATATTTTAGGAAAAGTCACCTAAAAAGTTTGATTGTTCTAGGGCAAGCCTTTTAGGCGCTACAGAAGATTTGGCACAGGCCCCAAAAGCTCACCACCCCAGGTCTGAATATGGTTCATAGCGATACTGCTTCATAATGAATCATTAAATCGATTTTGTCCTTCAGCGAAGCACCTTCGCAATTGTGTCAACAGGGATTATGAATAATGATTAACCACTGACAGCCTTAACTACGCCTGGCCTATTTGAGTTTGGTATGAAAAAAAAACAAGTACTCAAAAAAACAACAGCACCCCTCCATAAAATTAAAATACTATTAGGTTAATGGTGTCAAAGTTGAAACATTGTTGATATATAGTGAAAGAACAGGTTTAATGGCGTCGGTAGCATTGAATACTTGCGGTCAGTTTTAATTCGCCATTATTGCGTAACAGAGACACACCTAGTGATGAAAATATTTGATGACAAATAAGCCAATACATGTACTACCTCCCACAGACCTATAATTTCAGCTTACCAAATTGAACCAAATGTTAAAGATTATATACTGTATACTTGAACAAGTGACTAAAAGCTTCGCTGCGCTTTACTTAGTATTTACGGTATTTTAACAGTTGGCACTGCCCTCAACCTAACGTCAATGTTATTTTAAATGTCCATTAACCACCAAATGACAAACAAAAGTTAAACCTTGCCAGCCCAATGCATGTTATGCACATGTACAGCTACACTCGGTTCTTTCTCTCAGTGTAAAGAACTGACCTTGTCGTGTGCGGTTAGGTTGTTGCAACGGCCTGAAGTCTTTCGAGAACCTGAAGTCTTGGCGTCGCTTGGAAAGAAAGATGGCAAGTGAACTTGGGACCCTGGAGTTCCCCTACACCCAGTTCCGATTAAAGTAGACTGACCTTTACCTTTAACGTTCGATCGACTCTGCTTGTTGTGACACGCTCAATAAAGTAAGAAATTGTTGATGATATTAAGGAAACATTGCGTTTAGCTTTGCTAACCGTGTTGGCTATGAGTTCTTTACTTATATGATTCAGAACAAAACAGTGGTATTCTTACAGATCAACTTTTGATAGGGACAACAGATTTGGACAGTGAAAGTGAAAGTACAGTCATACAGTGTTCTAGTGACTCATGATTAATACCTTTGCCCAGAAGGTTAATTGTTTTCAGAGGTGTTCGTGTGGGTGTCTCTGTGTGTGTGTGTCTGTTTGTCTGTAAACACAATCACAATAAGATGTTATTCATGATATAATTCACAACAGCTAGGCAAATGATCTTATTTGTATCGTCAATGAGAAACATAATTCGTCAGCTGTAAGGTAAACATAATTTGGTAAAGGCCGTGGAACTCTAGTTTGTGATGTAGTCATGCTAGGATCTCTTGTGTGGTAGTTAGCTGTTGTGTACAGGAAGAAGTGTTTGGCCCTCCTAGCATTTTCTTCTGGAACTGCAGGGGCATTTGTTAAAAAATGTTTGGATAACTCAAAGTGATTCAACTCAAGATCTAGTCGACAGATCATCATGATTTTTGGTATGTAGATAAGAAGAAGGTAGCCTAAGTGATGCTTCACTTAATAACAATAATTATGCAAATCAGGATCTAAAAATCAGGATTAAAGAAAACAATGAGTGGTCGCCATTTGCTTGGTTATAAAATACTAGTACATGTAGTAGAGGAGAATTTTTAAAGCCGAAGAAATACAATAGTGCGTTCTACATGTGGATGATGTTGTGAAGATCAACAGGGCTCGAAATTCATTTTTGGGAATAGGTGTGCTAGTGCACCCAACCTAAAAGATTGGGTACGCAAAAAAAATTTTGGGTGCACCATGTAAGATAGAATAAGTAGCATGTCAGCAAAAACTAATTATGTTTCATTTCTGAAGAAAAGTACTATAAGAATGATTTATTCTTTCTTGACACCTGGGTATTAAGAATATGCTGTATACTACTATACATTTAACATCTTTACATACGTAAACCTATGGAAATATTCGGGTGGACTGGTGCACAGCTCCAAATTTGGGTGCACTAAGGTGCACATGCACCCAGTATTTCAAACCCTGTTTAATTTATGACATTTTCCACCCGTTACAGACATCAGTGAGACCTACACCAAGTACTCTGCTCTTGCCCTGGTGAACGGTGAACCCTGGGACATGTGGCGACCGCTGACGGAGGATTGCGAGTTGAGCTTCGTACGCTTCCGCGACCAAGACCCCGAGGAGGCCAACAAGGCGTACTGGCGCTCCTGCGCCCTGATTCTCGGAGCGGTGATGGAGACGGCATTCAAGGACACGTTTTACGTACAGCTTTCCCGCGCTCCCGAACTCCCCATTATCAAGGGCATGTTTCTATACGACGTGGACCTGGGCCTGAAGAATTGGACACCAACGAGAGATAACCTCCGTTCCCTGAGCCTCTCTGCAATCGCCATGAAATCTAAGGACATGCCTTTCGAGAGACTTGAAGTGGACCCTAGCCTGGCTCTCAGGCTGTTTAGGCACAACCAGTACAAGCAGCGTGAGGTGGAGGAGAGGGTGCAGGGAGGTCGAGTAACACTCTACAGAATGGGCAAGTTTATAGATATCCACGACGGACCGATGATGTCAAAGTCAAGTTTAGTGTCATTGTTTACTGTAGCGGGGATACATGAGCTCCCAGGCGGGCTGTATCGTGTGCAGGCCGTGTCCCTTCCCCATGATTTCTATCTCCACAGCAGTGTGTGGGACAAGTTGGTAAAGAGAGCTAGTGTCCCCCTGGTGGGAGACTTGAGTACTGCAGGGACAGATGAGTCATTGTTGAGGGAAATAGCATAACATGTAGAGACTAGAAGTTCAGCAGCTTAATGTTAACATATAGTCTCTTTCAAGATGCCTAATTCTTACTTTCATACCAAAATTGTAGTACAAAGGATTATTTTGAGGTTGTACATGTGTTTTTGTATCATGTTTAGTACTTCATTAGTAAATCTTTTGAAAATCACATCAGTAAGAGTTATTACAGATGATACACATGAAACAAATGTTGTTAAGAAGTACACTCATGACTATGTATGTCATAGAAAATAAAAAGCATTTACTAAAGAGATTCTGTTATTGCACCAGCACTTAATATTTGGATAGAAATCAGTGATATAAAGTTTAGAAATAGTGAAATCAATCATTCTTCCTCCTTGAATGTAACAAGATTTCAGAGATCTCATACCTACATGAAATATTTGGAGCCTTTGTAATTTTTTTAATGGACACTCAAAGGTGGCCGTACAAACCTCTGGCTATTGGATACTGGGATCTGCTTGGAGATTACCAGTTAATTGTTAGTTTGTTTGTTTGTTTGAGCCTTTATTTCAACTCGATCTGTAACTGTGTTACATGTTCTAATCGGCCGCTTTTCATAGAGGTCGAGCGTGGAGGTGTCAGGGGGTCGTAACATAAATACTACTTGCTCACAAATGAAAACAAAGTAATAATTTTTATACACAAGGTAACTCACACAAAGTAAATAAATAAACAAAATGGCAATAACTAATAAATAACTCATAAGTCGTTGTGTCCAAAGTCGTTCAGTCAAAGTCAGTTACGATACTAGCAGTCTTTTAAAGGTTCTAAGAGTAGGTGCTGCTCTAACATGCTGAGGAAGAGCGTTCCATACAAGCGAGCCAGAGTAGGCTAGGGATCTCCGGTATATTTCTCTTAATGGCATCGGTACCGCTAGGAGATCAGTTGCGCTTTGTCTGGTGCTTCTGGTCGCTCTATCCCTACAGTATTTGTGAAAATCCAGCGCATGTACGGCGGTAGTTGGTTGTTCAGGGCCTTATGTAGTAGGAGGGCTTTGTGATGGACATGTATACATGTATGCACGAGCCGGCATGTTATACAGGAAATCCGTTCTCTTTCATCACCTTTAATCTTGTTCGTGGCTCTATAGCACAGACGAGGTATGAATCCGGTTTGATGAGTTTTGGTTGTTTTACAAATAATTATGATGTGCCATTCAGAAGAGTTGCCATTTTTATATTTCACTTCGTACATATAGTACGGGTAAAATACATTGTATTTCCTCGTTTCTTCTTCTCTCCCTCCTCCTTTTATTATATTCCAACATGTAATCACAAGATGTCGGTGGTGAAGGCACACTCAAGTTTTTTTTTCAACTTATATTAATGCCGCCACCAACACATGGGACAATACAATACTAGTACTCATTTTCATCTGAGCGAAGTGAGGCAGGTCGTTACCCACTACGCCACATGACCCCCATCTTCTTCTCCTGCCATTTCGTCAAACGAATTCAACTTCTTCATTTTTGAGCCAAAACATCTGGAATTTGGTGTAGAGTGGACAGATACCCTCAGATGTTTTTCGCTCATTTGGTTGATATGAATACGCATAGTGTAGAATAGGTCTTTTTCGTAGACCAATCACAGCGTGCTTGTCAAATTACCCGCGAATTTGCAAGAAGCTGATTGGTTGAGATTTGGTGCAATGCTGTGTGCGCGGTACGTATTCGAGCGTGTACACCCCCATGTGCGTTCGCTGTTAGTCACATATGTCTAGGTTCTTGAAGCACCAAGCGTTCCAGGTGTTGGGCGCCCACTCACAGGTGTTGATCTTTCGACCATCGCCACATCCATGCCTGTGTAAAATATTGATATCTGAATCAACGCATGTTTTATGATGGTGGAAATATCTGCTGCAGACAATAATGTATCAATATCATCATCAAATGTGTAATTATATTTACCGAAGGAAAACACATTGGTTTTGCTCAGTTTCTTCTTCTTCTCCAAACAGTGACCTATGACCTGACCAATGACATGATTTGTTGACGTCTGTCACCATGGTGACTGGTGTGGGGTTACATAATGTTGCAATTTCATGGTCTACTCTGCTCCAGTCACCATATACTAGTAATACATGTATGTGAATGTGTTTGAGTAAGAATTAACAGAGCAGACGAAAATTTAGCGCGGGCATTTTTAGCCCCCTCCCGGTCTAGATTGGGTTAAATGACGTTTATTGTACAATTATCATAAAGTAGTTAGAAGCGAATGTAAACAGTAGTTATAATGTTTTTTTTCACAATGTACGTAAGATGACTTCAGAAAGAGTAGCGGTTGTATTGTCTCTAAATTGGAGATTCCTTAATAAACAAACTCAGACGTTTCAGCTAGTCAGTTAGCTAGACTTATTTGCATCATCTTGTCTTGACTTGTCGAACTTATTTACATACCAATCCATAGTTCGTGCTTATAAACCTGCATTTCTCCTCTGGTCTCTCAGTCACGGACGAAAGCTAGTGGATACTAGCTGAAACGTCTGACCATTTCCAAAATTATATTCAGTTGCTTGAGTAACTGATTTTTGGCGACACAAACAAACGAACAAACAAACCTGCCAGCCTGCATGGGATATCTGGCGGTCCTGTCTGCCAGCCAGCCGCATGAACACACCTCCAGCCCGTCTTGCCACGCCTCGTACAGCTGGTGGTAGGAGGCGAGACTGGCGTTCTGCTCAGAGCAGGCCTGCACTGCCTCATCATAGTCGTACTTGTACGAGCCGGCCGGTGATGTTACTTGGAAGATGTGGCCTGGTATAACAAGAAGGGGGTTACTATCATGAAAGTTCATCTGTGTTGGTAGTTACATGTTTAAAGTTAAGACTTTTGATCCAACACAAAAATTCTCTCACCTAGAGCTTTCGACCAGTCACTCTGGTCTCAGACTGACCTGACCCAGTGAAGCTTGTCACGTGGCTTCTTTGAAGTGTGACGTCAACACTGGGTCAAAGGTATCTGGTAGACGATGTCGGCCCCCGTCGCGGTTCAATGTAGGGTGATGGGCCCTGAAATTTGACCCAGTGTTGACGTCACACTGCAAAGAAGCCACGTGACAAGCTTCACTGGGTCAGCCTACTGAGGAAGACCAGAGTGACTGGTCGAAAGCTCTAGGTGAGAGAATTTTTGTGTTGGATCAAAAGTCTTAACTTTAAACAAGAAGGGGGTTATAGTTTTTTTTAACGGAGTGGTTCAATGCAAGGCTTATATAACCACTTCTCGGCATTGAACTAGAAATATGAGAGAAGCATGGATATGTCAAGAGATGGCGGTGAACGTTTGATTTGAAAGCCTGTAGACTGTAGGTTGGTGGGAAACACTTGTCAGGGAGAGGGAATTCCAAAGCTTGGTCGTACGGGGAAAGAAGCTGTCATTGTAAAAAGATTTCGAACAAGGAATTTGAACGGTGAAGTTGTGTGAGCTAGGGGAAAACCTAGTGGAACGCTTAAAAGTTCTGCTTTAGTGTTATGCTTTTATAAAGCATAACACTTTTAAGTGTTTAAAAAAAAGATTTTATCTCTTGAATACTGGTATTAAAACATTTTTTACCACACTAGGGATAGCATATCAACCTGGCAACAGCCACATAACTGGCAACTTTGCGTTATGTGGCTGTTGCCAGGTTGATATACCATTCCTGGTGTAGTAATGTTTTAATACGAGCATTCAATAGATAAAATCTCTTAGAGCATAATGTTATGTTACATATTATCATGAAAGTTCATCTGTGTTGGTAGTAACATGTTTAGAGTTAAAATTTTGTTCCAACGCAAGAGACTTGTTCTCACCTAGAGCTTTCGACTAGTTACTCTGGTCTTCCTCAGCAGACTGACCCTGTGTCGACGTCACACTTCAGAGAAGCCATGTGACAAGTCTCACTGGGTCAGTCTACTGAGGAAGACCAGAGTGACTGGTCTAAAGTTCTAGGTGAGAGCAATTTTCTTGTGTTGGAACAAAAGTTTTAACTCTAAACACATACATATTGTTCTGCAATATACTATTCAGTTCCTACTCAACCAATCTTAACCATAGCAGGTACGAATAAGCTCAAAACGTACCTTGCACGCTGAAAACGAATGAGGTACATTAAACTTGTATTAACTAGTAAGGCCATGTTGATTTCATGTGTAACTGGATGACTACTGCGTGCGCATGGATTTTCGTCCGTTTCAAAAGAAAGATTTTCGACCATACTGTAAATCGTACAAAGCGACTGCAAAATTAGCAAATATATGCCGAAGATTGAAAAAAAAAATATTGGAGAACGATACTAATGTCTTAGAATGCCAAAATCAATTCAAAAGAAAAGGAAGAAAATGTGAAGAAATAAAAATAAAGATTCCATTATTCGCCATACCATACTCTGTGTGTTTAGTCCTGTGACATTTGTTCAACATTTATGACCACGAAGATTTCATAATAAATGCAACTTTTTGCCAAACTTTTTTTTATTCGCACGCACGCATCAGTTGTGAGGTTTCTACAGGATGTCATCCATATAATCAAATCAACATGGCCTGAGCATTAAGGATCGTACCAAGACTTGGCGACGTGCCACAGAGGTCGTCCTTGATTTTGGAAGTCAGGTCGGCGCTCTGTGTCAGCTGACTCTGCAGTTCCGCACAGCACCGCTTGTCGGTGTGATTGACAGACTGCTGTTTGAGCGCACTCAGTTCAGCCTCCAGGGACGCCGTTCTCTCTGTGAGGTTCTTTATGAGTTCTGAATAATCAGGTGATAACAAGAGTTCGTAGGACACAACGCTCCGTGAAGTAATTACAGTGTTTGCGGTGTGGTGTTAATGTCGGTAGTTTAACAGAGGATAATAATATTTCTTGTGTATGTTCTAACATGCCCTCAAACTCGCAATTGTTACCAGTGTTTTTCTTAGCCTCTGGTGCGTTTGGTTGGTGTTCATGAGGCCATATAACTGAATTGACACAACAAAAGTACAGCGACTTTCGCAATATACGTACCTATTTGTATACACAGTAAGGGTTATTACCTTCTAGAATGAAATTGAATTTATCTAACATATAGCATTAAATGTAACAAATTCCATCGAGCAAGCAGAGAGAAGGCTGAACAGCTTTGTGCGTTTATGTATGTGCGTGTGTGTGTGTGACAGGGTCTTTACCTAGCCTCCGTAGCAGGCTTATAGAACTGGCCATATGGGTTTGGTGGTCTTCGCCTGTTTTCTGATTAACCCAGTTCAAAAACGGGGGTAATTCAACCAGGCCGGCTATGTTGTCTATATGCAATCAGAAAATATCACATACATGTAAAAGCTCTCAAAGACCATGAAGACCCCCAAAACCCCCAGTTTTTGGCATGCTATGGAGGCTAGTCTTTACCTGCTTGTGCCAGCGCCACTTGCTCGGCTCTCCCCAGGCGTACCAGCATGTCCGCCAACACCTTTTCCACCAGCGCCCCGTCTGTGCACACGGCGGCCGTCCTCGGACAATACGTGACCGTGAGGCAGTCGTCTGTCCGGCCCTCTACCGTCTGGTCTTGTACAGAGCAAGAAACGACAGCACAGCACACAAGGAACGCAAGAAAACTGAGGAAAATCCGCGCCGACGCCATAGTCGTAGCTGATCACTGACTATGTGCTCGCTCAAAAATACTACGTACTGATTGTTATTGAACTGATTAAGCACGAGCGTTGTTCCACCGAGCTTCTTAGAAAGGTTGTGCCCTGATGTACTTTGTCAGGTTGCAAGGGTTGACAAAAATCAACCAATCAAATCACGGGGCGCTGATTGATTCATTTGCATAACCCTTTTCCGGGTGAACGAACGGTCAAAGACGTTGTAGGCGATGTTGGAATCAAAAACTGTCGAAAATGCATCTTGCAGTGAATTAAACTCAGCAGTGAATTACTAAGGCCACACCTAGTAAATTTTATGGATGACATCCTCCGCGGACTCCAAATCTAATGCGAGAGGGCGAAAAAACAAGACGGGCCCAAAAAACAAGATTCAAATTTTGACATCATAAACCCTGTTAGACAAGAAATGATACCTATGTTGTGCTAACGTTACAGCCAACTATTACAACATCCATTTCTCACTGAAACAAGTTCGAAAAAGAAAAGTTTTCAATCATTGAATTTGTACAAATGATTTTGATTCAGTGGGAACATATAAAAGGAATGAAATACACCACTACATGGCAAGAACAAATCAGAGAAGACAAAAAAGAGAGGAGACAAGTTTCTGACAAAATTGTTTCAGTGAAAAATGCATGTTGTAATAGTTGACAGTAGACCTAGTATAATATAGGTATCATTTCTTGTTTAGCAAGGTTCATGGTGTCAAAATTTGAAAATGTAGTAATCATGTTTTTTTTGGGCCCGCCTTGTTTTTTTCTCCCCATCACATTAGATTTAGAGTCTGCGGAGGGTGTCATCCACAATATTTACCTGCTGTGGCCTTTAATAATAGGCAGCATAGCTTGTTTAGCGAAACACGGTGGAGGTCGTAGTAGACTTGGAACTCACGAAGGCTCGTCAAACAAGACCTGGTGAATGAATAACCGGCGCAAAGTGGGTCAAAAGGCGGCGTGCAGTATGATGCATGCCCAACGGCACTCTACCTCTAGTCTTCTACCGTGAGTACCGAGACCTATGCTAGCTCTGGTCGGTCGACATGAAGCCGACTCGCGGGGGCGCGCTGTATGCGGCCGTGGGAGGCGTCTCCACGGCCCTGGCGGCCACAAAGGTCCTGTACCCTTCCCTTTGGCAGGACCTGCGCTACCTATGGATATCAAATCGCGCCTCCAAACGGATATCCAAGTATCTCTCCGTCGAACCTCCGATCACCATAGTGGACCGCTTCCTGCACCAGGTGCAGCTCCAGCCCGACAAGCCCTTCCTCCTGTTCGAGAATGAAGTCTACACCTACAAGGACATGGACGTCATGTCCAACAAGGTGGCCAACTACTTCCGGGGGGAGGGGTACAGGTGCGGGGACACCGTCGCCATGTTGATCTCCAACGAGCCGGCCTTCATCTGGACCTTCCTCGGACTGGCCAAGTTGGGGGTGAAGATGGCGTTCCTCAACACCAACCTGAGGACCAGGGCGCTGCTGCACTGCTTCAACGTGGCGGAGGCAAAGGCTCTCATTGTGGGACAAGGTCGGTGAACTTGTAGAAAAGTTTCTTCTGGCTTTTAAAGGCATCCATTGCTATATTTCAGGGCGGCAAAACTGGCCTTTCAAATTTTCTGGCCATTCTTTAAAAAGTTGAATCAACCCTATCCCATAGCATATCTGTGAGGCAGAGAATGCGACCTTAATGCGATATCTGTGAGGCCGAAAATGATTGAATTTAACGGTTGCTTGTTTTGTATTGTATAGGCTGGCCCTAACTATTTAAGGGTGGTACCCAAAAATAAAGAGACGCATCACATAGCCTGTTTTGCGGCTAGTTAAAAAGCTTCAAGTATGAAATAATGACGAAAATATGTTACGAAATGGCAGTAAATGTCGATATCAGACCTATTTTCTTATCAAGAACGTTTTTTTGCCCCCCCCCTGAAATTGCGTTGGATGTCTTTATGTACTTCTCAAAAGGGTCAAAGGTCACAAATGTTTCGATTCTACAGATCTAGGTATTTTCTTCTGGCAAAAACAGCTTAAGATAACCCTGTATTTCCTATTGTAAAGGGGGCGGGGCTGACGAAGTCAGAAGGTCAACAGGCTTGTTGTGTCTGCGTATCTCCATTTCGTACACTAATGCTGAGGTCACATTTCCAGACCGGAGCCCGACCGTGTTATTTCGATTAAGGAAAAATCGATCATTTATATCAATAATATACGCAAACACTTTTCATCATTATTTTTTTCAACTTTTTTTGTGCTTTGTTGTCAGGCGAACCCCTGTCTCGTAAAAGCCACACGGTGATTTACATAATCACAATTCTAAGCAAGCAAACAAAAAAACAAACAAACATTTAAACATCACATTCATGGGAATAGAAGAACTGCAACTGTTACCAACTATTGTTCTTTCACACTATGACCATATTCCAGGACCTGGTTTACTTGAGGCAACCCTGACTATTCTGCCGCATCTGCAAGAACAAGGTGTAACAATCTGGCTGCAGGGAGACGCACATCCCCCAGAAGGCATCCTACCATTGGACGGAAAGATTGAGACTTCGTCAGCTCAGCCAATCCCGTTCAAGCTGAGATCGTCCGTTTCGGGAAATGATGCTCTTGCCTACATCAACACCTCAGGCACCACTGGTATTGTTCCCATTAACGTTGCTATTGAATAAGCCAAGCGCAACTACCCAATAGAATAATGTGCAACCCACAAGCTGAACGATATGTGGGGTTGTGTGGCGCAATGGCAGCGTGCACGACTCGGAATGAGTATTGTCTGTAGAGTGTTCGTTTCTATGTGCGGGACACAACACCAGCAACAGCTACCTCTGTTCCGCGTGTATTGCACTGTTGCAAATCAAATCAAATCAAATCAAATCAAATAAAAATTATCATATATAGTATTGCTCTATAAATTCATGTGAAAACTCCTGCCACACAAATCAGAACCTTCCTTCAAACACCAGCCAACCAAAGTTGGCTGAAGTTCGGAAGCAGTCAGACCAGATTTAGTCCACGCACACCTTTTGATACGAGTTCTGGTATCTTTTTGTTCTGGTCGTGAGAATGTCCAACTTACGTGATAGTTACGCGTCACTCCGCTAGATATCTGGGCCCTGTGCAGTGGCAGCCAGTCTCTAAAATTGAGTTTAATGTCTAACATTATTCCAACATTATTCCCTCCCAGGTCTGCCTAAAGCTGCGATCTACAGCTACGAGAAGGCGACCAAGGCGTCCTTCATGTTCAGTTTTGCAGGGATCCGTTCCAGTGACGTGGTGTATGTCGTCACGCCTCTGTACCACTCAAGCGCCTTCGGCGTGGGATTCACAAGTGTCGTGGAACACGGTAAGATATGTACGCTTGCAATCAATCAATCAGTCAGTCAGTCAATCAGTCAGTCAGTCCATCGGTCAATCAATCAATCAATCAATCAGTCAGTTAATCAGTGCAGTCAGTTAATCAGTCAGTCAGTCAATCAGTTAGTCAATCAGTTAGTCAATCAGTTAGTCAATCAGTCAGTCAATCAGTTAGTCAATCGGTCAATCAATCGATCGATCAATCAATCAATCAATCAATCAATCAATCAATCAATCAATCAATCAATCAATCAATCAATGTCTGACAGCTCCAGGCTGAATCGTACCGTATTGTACAAGCGGAGTGCCGCTGCATTGAAACAATTATCAAATTCTATATCACATATGAGTATAAAGTTGACGTAAAAAATTCACAGAAGTTTTGGCACATTGTTATTACAAAGTAGAAAAATTACATAGTTTACTTGTATGTGGATAAAATTCATCGTCATTAACATTATAATATTACATATGCCATTATTTACCATGGTTTCTTACTGTTTAGCAGGTTATCGTGTACGGTATACCTCTTCGTCATTCTGTATCTGGGTCTGATCTCGTCTATTTGGTTGTTGGAACGTGTAGTGTCCAGTTACAATACAATGACTGTTCCATTTGATAACTATTTTCATCAAATCGTCTTTCTTGGTACATACTACTAGGTGCCACCATGGCTTTGGCTAAGAAGTTCTCTGCGAGTCACTATTGGGACGACTGTCGGAAACACAACGCAACCCTGATCCTGTACATCGGAGAGATGCTGCGGTATCTATGCGTGCAGCCGAAGGTGTGTCGACGTTTCATTCAAACTCTTTTCAACGTTTACGACAATTCTTGAAAAGAATTCAGCTGTTTTAAATGGGCATTATCTATCATTTTTGGCACCAAAAATTGCTATATTTTAATTGAAAAAAATCTTAACGTTCAATTTACAACATATAAGTGCAATTATTTGTCATCAATTATGAATTATTTGCATATAGCTAACATTTATGGTTGGCCCTAGAAAGGCACTACACAAGGCACTGACTACACGTACACAAGGTCAAGTTTGTGGCACCACCACAAAATACGTACATGTAAACAAACATGGCTGACAGCTGTGTTTTCAGCTTTTAAACGCACTCGTAAGGCGTCATATTTTGGCACCTCCACTTCCTGAATGGCACTTTAATATTGCAATAGAATAGGGTTGATTCCTTACCTTGTACAGAAATGACCAGAAAATTTACTTCTTGTATCGTCCTAATGTTACATAATGCAGCTATAGATAGATATTTAGAGTCCATTTCAAGTCACAACGAGGGTTTTTAGATTATGTTCGCAATACTTTAATCAATAATCATAAATTGTTATGTTGTAAAACATTCGAAAGTGGCAATCAAAGGTTGTCTTGTCTAAACAATAATTTCACAATTGGTTTGTCATGTTTACCGAAGGAAAACATATTGTTTTTGCTCAGTTTCCTTCTTCTTCTTCTTCTCCAAACACTAACCTCTGACCTGGCCAATGATCTGATTTGTTGACGTCTGTCACCATGGTAACTAGTGTTGGGTTACATCATGTTGCAATTTTATAGCAGGAGGGATTTAGACTCCTGTCTGACCACATATATAAATGTGTTTGAGTAAGAATTAACAGACTAGAACATGTGCGAAGGTAAACATCATGCATTTGTTGCAAATGTTACCTTTCTAGTTACTTTTTTCACTCTGTTGCAGCGTTCGAACGACAGAGACCACAAGGTTCGCGCGGCGTTGGGAAACGGTCTGGCGTCGGACGTGTGGCAGGACTTCCAGGATAGGTTCGGCATCGGGCGGATCGTGGAGTTCTACGGCGCCACGGAGAGCAACATCCGGCTGATGAACATCACCGGCAAGGCGGGGTCTGTGGGCATGATCTCCCCTTTGATACAGGTAATGCCTAGTTCACATTTCCAAACCGGGTTCCGGCCGGGCTTAGCTAATCTCCAAGCAGATCCCTCTAGGTGGCAAAAAGACAGTATCAAATTGGCCAGGCAGTATCCATTAGCCAGAGAAGCTCCGCGGCCACCGACGGGGGTCAGGACAAAAAAACCCCGGCCATATATAAAAATGTAACATCATTCCCCACAACCTCTGCTTGGAGAGTGGGGCTTAGCCTGGTATCCAGTCTTACGTGGTAGGAGCAGGTTTCCCCCAGGGCTCCAGGAGCTCTTTCCCGCCCGCCTCAGCTAGGTTTTCCGGTCGGCGTTTCATTAGAGATTGATTAACCCTACCTTCTTGTTGGGGCAAATCAAATTCTTAAGCAAACCATCTCTTATTAGCGTAACACTCCTACCGGGTCGGACTGTTGCACTGGGCGGGCTGACGGGCATTTCATACTTCGCTACACACAGAAAATAAATCAAACCCTACAATAACATGACAAAAGTAGCATTGGTAGTATAACTTATCATCATTTTTACTATTATTTTATCATGTTCTTGACATTCCCCTTCAGGCATGGATTTGCAATTCACTTTTCAATTTTCATTATTACCCATGATTAGCATTACTAATTTAATTAAATGATGATTTGTTTTGTTGACGTTCTCCTTACCTGTACAGAACACTTCCGCGTGTCCCCTGTACATTTTAAAGGTGGATCTGGAAACGGGACAACCAATCAGAGATGACCATGGCTTCTGCGTCAAAGCGCAAACCGGTGAGTTCCTACAAGTTAAACCGTAAGACATATCCACACCCCTCTGGAACAAAGATATTGTATTTTTAAAATTTGTGTTTATCGAAGGGAAACATATTGTTTTTCCTCAGTTTCTTCCTCTTCTTCTCCAAACAAATAAGGTCAATGACCTGAACCAGACGTCTCTCGTCATGGTGAGACTGGTGTTGGGTTACATCATGTTGCAAGTGCCATGCAGAACTGAGCTGTATGGTCACTATCTATATGAATGTGTTTGTATGTTTCTATGTGTGCAGGACACAACACCAGCAACAGCTTCCTGTGCCCCACGTGTTTTGCACTGTTGCAATTTCAATAAATCAAATCAAATCAAATCACCTCACAAACAAACTCCCCATGAACATGTAGGAGAACCAGGCCTGATGATCTGCCCCATCAGCAAAGCAGTCCCTTTCCAGGGATACAAGGGAAACAAGGACCTGACGGAGAAGAAGGTCCTGCGTGACGTCTTCAGGAAGGGCGACGTGTACTTTGACACCGGAGACCTGATGAAGGTTGACAAGGACTACCACGTGTACTTTGTCGACAGGCTTGGCGACACATTTAGGTGAGAATTATCAGATATAATACCGTATTTATGACCAATTAATTTTTTTCCACGAGCCGACGTTTTGATGACTGTCCGTCATCTTCATCAGGGCAATTCTGACTGATAACTATGCACTGACGCTAGATGTTACTTGGTGCATAGTGCACTAAAGGTGTTTCAAAGTTCACAGTGCATCTAGTGTCAGTGCACAGTAAACCAGTCAGAATTGCCCTGATGAAGATGACAGACGGTCATCGAAACGTCGGCTCGTAAAAAATAAATGGTTGTGACCAAAGACCTTTGCTATTCATTCGTTTACCAACCTGATGAAATTATTTACGAATACCATATTTATGTTTACCTAAGGAAAACATATTGTTTTGGCTCTGTTTCCTCTTCTTCTTCTTCTCCAAACCAATAAGGTCAATGACCTGAGCCAGACGTCTGTGACCATGGTAACCAGTGTTGGGTTACATCATGTTGCAGTTTTATAGCAGGAGGGATTTAGGCTCCTGTTTTAATAACTGTGGTGCGCGGAAGCTTACTGTTGGTGTTCTAAAACCAGACTGTCTGTTGTAGGTGGAAAAGTGAAAACGTGGCCACCACGGAAGTCGCTCAGGTGTTATATGACATGCAGGGCGTCGACGAGGTCAACGTGTACGGCGTGAAAGTACCAGGTACGGATTCATGGACTTGATTTTGCTTGTTTCGCATAACTGGTAAACCATCTTCAGGTGTAACACACAGTAAGTACATGCTGCGTAAGACCGGACTGTAAGGAACCACTCACAACAGAAAGGACACCTACTCTTTTCGATAAGTGTGGTGGGTTATTTAACGTGCGTGGGGTGTGGGTCTCCCCAAACACGGGACCTCCATTTAACGTCCTATCCGAGGAACGTCCTAACCGAAGCTAGGTACTCATTTCCACCTGAGTGAAGTGAGGAAAGTCGTGTTAAGTGCCTTTCCCAACGGCACAAGATCGGTGATATGGGTAGGATTCTAACTCGGGACCTGAGCCGAACACTCTGCCGTTTCACCACACGACCGCCATGTACATATGTATATATGCGAATAAACAAACAAATTTAATAATAATCTAACAACGTTCCCTGTCCAACCGTTTCTGCAGGTGCGGACGGAAGAGCAGGGATGGCCGCCATCGTGGTGTCCGCCGGTACGCCCGTAGACCTTACCCGCTGGTACGCTCACATCGCGTCCCGCCTGCCCAGCTACGCCAGGCCGCTGTTCCTCCGGCTGACCACGGAGATCAGCGTCACCAGAACGCTCAAGCAGCAGAAGATGCAGCTGGTCAAGGAGGGATTCGACCCGACTCTGATCAGAGACCCGCTTTATCTCAGAGACGACGCTCAAAAGACTTACGTTCCTCTAGACCTGGATCTGTACCGGAGGATTGCTCTGGGGAAGGCCAAGTTGTGACCACCGCAATAAATTCTATCTTTAAGCACACCTTAAAGTATGCGTAAATTAAAGATGTATCTTGTGATTTTATATGTATTACATGTTTAAACTACAACGATGCTCAAAAGACGTACGTAATACGTTCCTCTAGACCTAGATCTGTACCGGAGGATTGCTCTGGGGAAGGCCAAGTTGTGACCACCGCTATGAGAAATTCTATCTTTAAGCACATCTTAAAGTATGCGTAAATTAAAGATGTACCTTGTGATTTTATATACATGTTAAAACTACAACGATGCTCAAAGACTTACGTGCCTCTAGACCTAGATCTGTACCGTAGGATTGCTCTGGGGAAGGCCAAGTTGTGACTTAAAGTATCTCTATTTGAAAATATCCCTGCTGTTACTTCACCACGTGTATAATTTTAGGATAAATTTCCGAAGTGATATACTAGTAACTACCTGAAAAGCCAGTGGGGAAGACATCTGTTACATTGTGTACATGTTGTGATGTCATGTACAATATATAATGTTTGATATACTTTTGTTATTATTGTTATTAATTTACAAATGTGCAATAAACGTATGAAAAAATAACCAGTCTCTTTTGTTATCTTACACTCGAGGCCGAGAACGCTGAGCGATGAAATATGTGACAGATTGCTCAACGAATTCCATAGACAAAGAAGGAATTAAAAAAAAACGTTTTGTTTGGGCTTCTTGCATTTTAAACCATGCCTTTTTACCGTGTATCATATTCCAACAAGAGTTTCACGATTTCGTACATTCGCCAAATGATAGGCGTGGCCTAAATCAGGACAGGAAAGTCTTGAATATATATGTGACAGGGGCTTCAGCAATCACCGTTTGTTGCTTTGATTCTGAAAGCTAATTCTGTACGACTTTGTGTTATTTGGCGAGGGCAAAAAAAAAAAAACACACAACAAGACTGGCGATGAAAATATACGACGATGCCATGGCGACGGTAGTTGCTGTTAGGGTTATTGTTCGCATGGCACTGCTCGACCAACAAATTGTACAGCCTGGCGACAGGACCCGATATTGCATGGCTTCGTTCCTGCCACGAACACTCGGGGATTGGAGTGGCCTATAGCTACCCCAAGCAACAGTGGAGACCACTACCATCGATACATTTGGTGACCTCCCCTCCTTTATATATAAGTAACAGAATGATCGGCACGACGATAGATAGCGGTCGCTTAAACAGGAAGAGGAAGAGGAAGAAGAAGAAGAAGAGGAACGCACCATCACGTCGATCCAGGCGAAATGGCCACATAACCATCCGCGCGGCCGGACTAATACCAGGAAGTCTTCGCTGGACCACCAACATTACACCACTATATAAAGGCTACAATTAACAGGCTTTTCAGAAAATACAAAGATTTGTATACAGCTAGTACGATATCAGGGATATTGCGACCAAAACATACAAAACAAAGTCACGTTTCCGGCGATTTACTGCCGCACTTACAGATTCAAACTCCGACCCGGAACCATACAGACGTTTGTTTTTATTTGTTCCTCATATTGTGCTTCCTTCACGACAGAATCATGGCGGTGCACCACCTACAGACGACGCTTGTCATGATTGTTATTTACCTGATATTAACTCGCCAGACCACAGCTACAACAGAAGAGTTTCGAGTCTCCGTACCAGAAAACGTGGCTGTCGGACAGGCCATAATTACCCTACCTAGGACCCAACTCGGAGACAAAGCGGAACTTCCGTGTGCCAAAATAATGGACGGGGATCCGCATTTTCGCTTCAACGTGACCAAAGACTGCATCATTCTGGTCGCCAACCCTCTGGACTGGTCTGTAGAGTCGGCATATCTGCTCAACATTCACCGGGGATTGTACAACACAAGTGTCGAGGTGCAGCTGACTGACGTTGTGGGCTATCCACCGGTGTACAACGATACATGCGAAACACCTACCAATCCCAAAGGTGGTTTACTCTTAAGTCTAAAGTCAAGTGCGGAAGTGCTGACCACAAACCAGGACGTCCTGTACATAAGACATCTTTGGTACGATGACTTCTTCCACCCCCCTACCTATGATCATTGGAAGGCCAACACAAACAACAGTGACTGTACTTTCCATTTAGCTACATACTTAAGTTGGGCTGATGATATCATAACATTCAAAGATATATATGATAACGGCTTACGTCAAACGACATGTAGTGCAGGGTCTGATAATCACGATTTGTCAGCAGAGTTGTTTTTTACAGGAGGCGACGAAGAGTCAAGACTTCAGAAATTAAGAAAGTTTCTTCCTAACTTCATCGTAGACGACGTGAGAGACAACATCATTGTCCTGTTTTTAAAGTGTATTTTTCCTGCGAAAGACGCGAAGTTATATTCCTGCAACTTTCCAACATTTCTACATCCTCCAGTCAGGGCCTTCAACAGTGACGCCAGGATACAAATAGCAAGCTTTGAATATGTAGATGTAGAAGTACGCCCCATAGGTTGTCCTGTTGGAAGATACGGCTTCCTCTGTAATAAGAACTGTATCTGTAAGAACGGCGCCCGCTGCCACGGGTTTAACGGCGCCTGTAGATGTGCCCCCGGCTGGAAAGGTGTGGCCTGTGACATTCCCAAGCCAGACGTCTCGATAACCACGACGCCTAGCGATCCTCGACAAATCTACACTTCCCGCAATGTGGCTTTTCACTGTAGGGCACTCAACATTGATGCCAAGGTCATGTCTCTGCGGTTTCCAAATGGATCAGAGAAACTGGTTAGTGGCGAGAACTATATGACTGTTCTTGTCGCAAATATGCAACCTGAAAATAGTGGACATTACATTTGCATGGTTCTCGACAAAGATGGACTCACTCTAAATGCAACACTTGATGTTCTTTGCCCACCGAACCGCAAGGGTGTCGATTGTGATGAAGCGTGTGATTGCCTACAAGGTGCCAGCTGTGACCGGTGGGCCGGTTGTGTCTGTCCGCCCGGATGGAACGGAACCAGATGCCAGACAAAATGTCCCCGTGGCACGTACGGCAAAGACTGCACAAAACGCTGCAGCTGCCAGAATGGTGCGAGCTGCAGTCCTAGCGGAGGCAGGTGTAACTGCACCGACGGCTGGTACGGAAACGACTGCGGCAAACCGTGTCCGAGCGGTCTTTTCGGGTGGAGATGCCAGCAGCGTTGCGCTTGTAAGTACAACGCCACATGCAATAGCGTGGACGGTAGCTGCACATGTGTGACACCGTGGACGGGACGGTACTGTGACCAATTGCAGACAAGCAGAGCCAGAGATGAACCATTGCTAGAAAGCCTGATCCCGCTAGGCTCCTTAGTCCTGCTTGTTGCCATAGTGACGGCCATACTCTTCAAAACAGGAGTTCTGGCTTGCTCCGTGCCTGAAACAGGCGAGGAAGAAAAAATACTTTTCGAGCTGAGAAGAATGGAGCAGGACCTGGCACAGACTCTACAGCCGGGCTGGCTCGGGCGTTGGGAGAAGAAGGCCCGCCATCTCACTCCTGGTCCCCTGATAGGGGAAGGAATGTTTGGGAAAGTCAGAAGGGCACAGCTACGCACGACTGGAGGGCGGCTAGACGTCGCCGCCAAAGCAGTTCGCGTGGAGGACGCGCAGTCCTATCGTGACTTCTACAGGGAAGCAGCCATACTGGTAGCCGTGCACCAAGTGCAGGAACAAGACGGCAACGATCGTAAGTCCAACATCGTCCGACTAGTGGGACTCATCACCAAGTCTGCGGAGAAGTACATCCTTCTAGAATATGCCCCAAAAGGCGATCTCTTAGGCTTCTTACGAGGGATAAAGAACAACAATCAGGAGTATCTACTGGAAAATCTTCTAGGATACGCAGTTCACATAGCACGAGCTCTGCAAGAGCTGGAGCGCCTGAGAATCGCCCATCGTGACGTGGCCGCTCGTAACGTCCTCATCACTGCCGACGACGTGGCCAAGTTGGCTGACTTCGGACTGGCCAGAGATGTGTACGCCACCGCTCAGTATGTACGAGCCAACCGGCCGGGCCTTGACGAACTCCTGCCGCTGAAGTGGATGGCGCTGGAGTCCATCGAGACGGGCGAGTACACCTGTCAGAGTGACGTCTGGTCCTTCGGCGTGCTGCTGTGGGAGATCGCCACGCTGGGACAAGATCCGTGCTACGATGGTAGGACTCAGCTCACTTTTCTCCAGATGGTGGGGATTCTGAGGCAAGGGATAAGGATGAACAGGCCGCCGGGGTGTCCGGAGGACCTGTACCGACTGATGAGGGCGTGTTGGCGCGACGTTCCTGCTACAAGACCGACTCCAGAAGGGATAGAGAAGAGACTGCTGCAACTAAGACTTGCACTGCTCATACCTGAAGCCATTCAAATAATGGAGACTGCCTTGTAATAATTATGCATGTCAGTGCGAACTGTCAGTGACGTGACCTTCGCGAAGTATTGGAAAATGCAGTGTCTTCACGTTTGTAGCTGTAACTCACGTAAAGTCCGTAAAATTGCACTGTATACTAATACGATTGCACTGTATTCCGTAAAATTGCACTGTATACTAATACTATTGCACTGTATTCTGTAAAATTGCACTGTATACTGATACGATTGCACTGTATTCCGTAAAATTGCACTGTATACTAATACGATTGCACTGTATTCCGTAAAATTGCACTGTATACTAATACGATTGCACTGTATTCCGTAAAATTGCACTGTATACTGATACGATTGCATGGTATTCCGTAAAATTGCACTGTATTCCGTAAAATTGCACTGTTTACTAATACGATTGCACTGTATTCCGTAAAATTGCACTGTATACTGATACGATTGCACTGTATTCCGTAAAATTGCACTGTATACTAATACGATTGCACTGTATTCCGTAAATTTGCACTGTATACTGATACGATTGCACTGTAGTCCGTAAAATTGCACTGTATACCAATATGATTGCACTGTATTCCGTAAAATTGCACTGTATACTAATACGATTGCACTGTATTCCGTAAAATTGTACTGTATACTAATACGATTGTACTGTATTCTGTAAAATTGCACTGTATACTGATACGATTGCACTGTATTCCGTAAAATTGCACTGTATACTGATACGATTGCACTGTAGTCCGTAAAATTGCACTGTATACTAATA